ATTCCTTATTCCTATTTAAGTAGAGACGTGACCGGAGTTAGGGATCTTTTGTTAGGCAAACGTTTCATATACCAATCCCATTTCTCATATAAAATAATTATACATTTCAAAATTAAAACAATATAAAACAAAAATCAAGTTTAAATTTAAATCAAGATCAAATTAATTCTACAAAACACACGATATAAACTTAGAAATAAATTGTAGTAAAAAAAAAAATTCACAAATCCTACCTAAGGCATGTTAATATCTGTGTGTCACTTCTAATTTCTCCTTAGAAGGTATTTGCCTTGATTTTTTTTTACCATATAATCTGTCTCTTTTTTTTTTTTTTTTTTTGATAAGCTATAATCTTTGCCCGTTACCTTTTTCGATACGCGTCAATTAATACCTGCAAAATTGTTCCCCATAGAAGAATTTGTTACCTTTGATTATCTTACAGATGCATAAATATGCGTGCAAATAAATGTATGTATGCGACGGTTACTAAATTATTCACCAAGTTTTGATACTAAATAATGTGGCATTAATGGATTTATTAGAACATAATTAATTAATGAAATATCACTTAGTTATGTATATCTTGTTAAACTAATAATTAAACAGTCACAAGTATATTAATTGTCAGTATCCAACCATAATAAATAAAGTTTTTTTTTTAGAAAAAAAAACCTTAATAAATAAGTTGGGTATCACAGTATTGCCCTGGTTAATAGCAGTTTGAAATTACTCAATAATTTAAGTTGAATAAATACATTATTTTTTATTTTTTTCTAATAAATAAAGAGTGCACAATCATTATCAAGACAAACTAATAATACATACTAACTAGCAGTAACCGATCTATTCTCCACTAAGCTCACCACTTAAAATTGATTAAGAAAAATTATATGGTCGGACTTAACATATATACCCTACCAATAGAGCAAGTTTGTCCTTTGATAAATTTTAAAGATATTTCTTATGGGATATAAATTTTAAATATTTAATTATAAGTGAGAGTACTTTTGCATTGTATTTATAATGCACTTTAACTGTTAAAACTCAATCGAATAACTAAAAAAACTCACTCGAATGGTACGGCAAATATCATTCCCTACCAATACCATTGAATTTTTCATCTATTAAATACTAAAATCTTGAAACAAAAAATAAGGACAAAAATCCTAACAGGCCAAAAGTCTTACTTGAAAGCACAAATCATTAATTTACTATTATATATCTCCTTTCCTTAATTATAATTGCTAATTGAAACATTTCCCATAAATATTTGCAGGCGCTCATGGAACCGGCTACGGTAATTCTTGTGACAATTTCTCATTCAGAGCTTAATTAGAGGACTTTGTACTTTCATATTGGCCAATTAATGCGGCCTTTATATATATATATATATATATTAATTTGTGTCGCACAATATATAGAATGGACCAATCTGAGTGTGGCCTAAATAACGCAGCTTGCTACATCAATCAATTGTTACTTGGAGCTGTTCTAAGTCTCCTATTTAAGCTTATGGGGATTTTTCAGATTGCTTTTGATGTCACACATAAAGCCACCAATATATCCTACTGATGAAAATTCTGATCATCTATAAATAAGGATGTAAGACGACGCCAATAAATGCCGGTACATTTACTTTCGACGATTTGCCTATATTCATACCGGCTATAAACGTTTTTGTTTGTCCACAGAACGGCCATGGCGTACGTTGAGCTTGTTTGTACATCATGACAAGGTTGAGTTGTCCATGGCGTCGCTGTTGTTTTCTTTAGTTTAGTTGTTTGTCCTTTCTTTAGATTATCTTATTTGTTGTCATCTGTTAATTTCTATTGTCGTTTTGGTTGTAAAGAAGGCTTTTAGGCTTTGTTTCTTCTTCGATCGAGGAGGCAGACTTTCTCATTGCTATCAACTTTTTCAGCTTCAAAGGCTTGCTCCATCAGTTAATTTGGTTGATGATATATGATATTGATCGGCTGGCTCAAATTAATCTCAAATCATTATATCTTAGGCCTTGTAATTAGAAAACACTTTATATCTTTTTTGTAATAGATATAATAAAAATGGATTTGCAAAATTAAACCACGCAAAAAATAAATAATAAATAAATAAAATTGCAATACTAGATAATCTATAATTTTCTGGCCTCAGCTATTTAAGTTAGCAGTGCTGAGAAAAGTATATTCTTCTCTCTTTTTTCCCTGTCTAAAAGAGTTAAGGGTATTGTTCGCTTCTTTATTTTTTTAGAGTGTGTTTGGTTAGAGGAAGAGGAGTGAAGGGAGACGCCAGAGCATTATTTAGTTGGTAGAAAAGATGAGGAAAAGGAGAGGAGAGATGGAGAGAGAGAGTCTACTTCTAGACTCATAATTTTGAATCTTTTCATTTGTAGAGATTGGAGATTTTCATCCAACAAATATTCCTTTAAATTTAAGCTAAAAATACTATATTACCCTTAAAAAGATATTATAAACAAATAGTAAAATAGACAATATAATAATTAGATAAATAACCGTCATTAATCCTCTCAAATAGGAGTGTGCAAACCAACTAAACCGGTTATGTTACGTGAAATACAAACCAAACCAATTACAATTTAGTTTAGAGATTTTTGAACCAAACCAAATCAATAAAGGGATCTAATCCAATCCAAACCAAACCAATTGTAATTGGTTTGGTTTGGTTTTTCTAATTAGTCTGAATTAATATTTTACAACATCTTCTCAAGTCTCAACCATAAGTTGTACCAATATTTTGTGTGCTCTTTTGCCTCTTTCTCTATTTCTTCTAAAGACATGAAGTTAAAACAATTCAATTATAGATATATTTAATATAATATTAGTTGTGACTCATGATTGAATATGATATTCAGCTTTTTTAAATATATGAAAGAAGGTGAATATAAACTAGTCAGAAACACGTATTATTACAGATGCTATATTCATGTTAACAAGGAAGCAAGACTTTATACAGAATCACAAGCAAAACCCAGAGGAGTGGAGAATGAGAGGAGAGGAAAGGAGCAGAAATGCTTAAGGGTAAATTGTGGAGACAGTGTTATGGTAGAAACTTTTACAGTTATGATCATTTAATTTTAGAATAAACAAGATTTTTAAATATAAATAAATTAAAGTATATGATACATATAATTTTAAGAAAATTATATAGATAGAAATTGGATTGGTTTGATTTGATTTTTATCATAAAACCACAAACCAAACCAATTTAATTGATTTTTAAAAAATTTAAACCAAACCAAACTAATTATTAATTAGTTTGGTTTGGTTTTCTTTTAATTTAGTTTAATTTAGTTAGTTTGAATGGTTTGTTGCACACCCTTACTCTCAAATCTCCCTCTATCTTACCAAATAAATTCAAGCATTACTACAATATTTTTTATCATCTATATATTCCTTATCCCTTTAATGTATCTCCTTCCTTCTTACCCACCAAGCCTCTATCCAAACAAAGTCTTAGGCCTCGTTCATTTTACCGATTTGAGTTTTCAGTTTTAGGTTTCTACAGTAAAAAGCTCTCATAAAATATCACATCAACTTTTTCTGTTACAGTAAAAAGCTCTCAAAAAGTGTCACATCTCAACTCGAATTGAAAACTCGAATCCGCGAAGTGAACGAGGGCTTAGTTACATCATCATGGTATTCTCAGGAGGAGTGCAAAATGCCACGTCACTGTAGTATGACAAAAGCCAGAGTTGACTTACACCGCATGCTGCCACCTGGAACTTATGATTCTAGAATCAGACATCAAAGTTTAATTTCTTTTATTTATTTATTTATTTTTTGGTCAGTTTCCCTCACTTTCTTTTAAACTCGGATTCGGCATGCACGTAGAATTCGTATGGCACGGAAATTTTCATCCTTTTCAGTGATGCCAAAACCAGGATTTATCACTTGAAAGAAAGTAGAAGAATAATTCAGTAACTCATTAATGATATAATCTTCATTTTAACTATCTCTCTCTCTCTCTCTCTCTTAATTACCATTAAATTAAAGGCAAAAAAAGGAGGATTCTATCTGAAGGAGATCATAAATTAGTATCCAAGTTTTTTCTCTCTTTTTCTCAATTTTCTAATTATTCAAATGGAGAAAAAACGAATTTAAACTGACGAAAAGGTTCTTAGCAAGAGCTGGCCAGTTGCTACTAATCAACTCTCTCTCCTGTGAGAATAATAAATGCTTAGGAGAGGGTCAAATAAATCTCACAAAAACAAATTTACATGAATAAAATATAGTGAAATACGTAATTAGTTTAGCGGTAATCTCAATTTAATGTTACGGTCTTGAGTTCGAATCCGTCCATCCCATATTCAAAACGTTCAAAACAAGAAATAACATGAGATACTATGATAAGCTGTGTAAATAACTATGTACTATGATAAGCTGTGTAAATAAGAAAGACAATAATATTGCTCCACATAAGGTGTCAAAATTGTAAGTGCATATCCTCAAAAATAAAATTATATATATATATATATATTTAAGCCCATATTTATATATTAAAAACAAGTAAGGACAAGATAAAGAATGTTAAGAAAAAAATATATATGATAAGAGCAATGTTTTACTGAGTGCTTAGTGCAGAAGAAAAATTAGGCCTATAAATTGGGTAGAGAATCCCCATTTTACCACAGAGAGATCCCCCGTAATGAAAAACATTCTCATTTATCCTCCTTTCACTGATCATATAGCCGAATTACACTAACCCAAAAAACCAATCATCTTCAACAATCCTTCTCTTCTAAAATAGATATAGATTGATATGTAATTAGCATTTTCGAGTCCAAAACACTCATTCCACTCCTTAAAAAAAAAAAAAAAAAAAAAAAAAAAAATTAGTGCATTTTCCTTTCTCTCTTTCCCACTAGAAACTAAATACGGAGAGAGATTATCAGAGACTTTCTTAATTCCAAGTCTTAATTGTGTGATTTTCTGTTTTTATTTGTTTGTTTGGGTGTTGGGTTTTTTTTTTTTTTAATTTTCCCAAGAATGGCTAGTATTCCTCCAGTACAGCTAATGAAAAATCCGTCCTTAGGAAATAGCACTACTACTGAAGCGAGTACTACTCCGAGTGCTAAATCCAGATTGGCGAGATTAGGAGTACCATTTAAGAGCGACCCATCTCCCACAGACACAAGATCGTTTTCAGTGGAGAAGTTGATTGCGGCTCTTCATGATGATTCCAGCCGAGAACTTGCTCTCGTTCTGCTATGCAAGGTATAATATATGTGTGTGTGTGTGTGTGTGTGTGTGATTATTGTAGCTTTAATTTTCTTGTTCTTGTTTGGTTGGTGAGAAAATTTGAAACATATAATTCCATACCATAATTCACTTAGATTTGATGAGGGATTGAGTTAATTTTTTTTCCCGCTGTAAATATATCGACTAATTAGGGCCAAGGTTTTGAATTTCTTGTGACGCGCAAGTTTTTTAAATATCGACGGGCTTCATAGAAGATAAGTAAATGTCGCAGCATTAAAATTACCGTTTAGCTAGTATATGTTTAAAGAATTTTTTGAGAAATAAAAGAGTTTTTCTTTGCGGCGCGCTAGCGCAAATTTTCAATTATAGTGCTCAGTTAAAGATTAAATAAATATCAGATTCATAACATCTAAATTACCATTTGGCTAATATCTTTTAATAGAATTTTTTAAAATGTAATAATGATTTTCTTTAATTCATGGCTTCTGTTTGGCTAATATCTTTAAAATAATTTTTTAAGATATAATAAAGGCTTTCGGCACGCAACTTTCGTGTGGCGCTTAATCTTTCAAATTTTGGCGCGTAATCTTTCGAATATTTAAATTACCGCTTAGCTAATATCTTTTAAAGGAATTTTTTTTTAAGATACAACAACGATTTTCTTTGTACCTCTCATTTTCGTTTGGCGCGTAAGTTTTCAAATATAACGCGTAGTAAAATATACGTAAATATCCTAGCATTTAAGTTACCGTTTAGCTACTGTTTTTTTTAAAGAATTTCTTAAGATATAATAAACATTTTCTTTTTCTTTCGGCTCTTTATAAGGGTAAAATTGAAACAAAAAAAAAAAGGTTATTTAAACTCCAAAACAATTTTACCTTATTAGAAAACTCAAAAATGAACTTCCCACATTCTTAAAGGTAGCCTTTTCAACGAAAAATTGCGTGATCCGAAATTCTCTTAAAAGAGTATTTAATTATGCCGAGTCGGCTAAAAATCATTTTTATCATCTAATTATCTAAACTCTCTTGGGCCAAATCGGCTTCTAAAAGCTATGTCAAACAGCTCTAGTTTTCTAAATAAATTACTTTTTCCTTGCGCTTAAATCTTAAAGCTATGAAAGCTTCGAAATTGTAGAAAATTGAAGATTATAATAGGAAGGTTGAAGATACAAGAGAAGATTTTAATAAGGTCTGAAAGAGATCAAAGAAATTAAACTATATAAAGAAAAAAAAATCCAGTACTAATATTTAACGCTGGCTTTGTTGTAACTCAACATATTGTTATATTTTTTCACACAATTTCTTGGAATGGATTAAACTATGAAAGATAGTTTGTTTGATGGCTGCAGTAAATTCATTGAGAAAGTCTAAAAAGAATAGGGGGAAATGTTTATATGTAAGTACTGTTGCAAATAGTACTGACAATAGTGTGCTTCTTTGAAAGTTACTTTTGATATCTGATCCTCATGATTACATGATCGCGGAATTACACAACTATATAAACAGATCTAAGCAAATAAAAGAAACAAACATTGCAAATTCATCCAATAATCATCCTAAAGTTCGACACTAATCTAGAAATTTGATTCGTAATTATAACATCATGAATATTTTAGTTCGATATGTGATTTTTTTAATGATTTTTTTTTTTTGCTAATTAATTAGTTGCTTTAATATTAGTTTTGCGTCTTAAACAAGTCTACGTATGAGCTTCCATTAATGTGTGTTTCCAGGTTAGAACAAGTCATGAAAATTTGGGTCCAATGCTGTGGGATAGCAATGGAACAATATTTTCACTCCTGAAGGTATGACAATTATTAGTTTTGCCTTTAATTTCAGAAAACTTAAGTCATATATTGCCCAAACTCTAATTAGTACTACTAATTTCATATTATGATTAATAGTGAAACATATTTTATCATGTCAGGAAATTATGCACGTCTACTACGTTCTTTTAACTCCACGCCTTACAGAAAAAGACTCAAACCGAGTGTGCAATGTTCTTGCTTTGCTTCAGGTTAATTATATTTACTTAAGTGTCTGTCATTTCATTCATATTTGTTTAGCTACTTCTACTATATATCTATATTAATATATACAACACACAGTCATGATTAAACATTAAATGGTTGTACTGGTTTCCTTTACAGTGTGTAGCTTCCCATCCAAATACAAGGAAGCGGTTTATGGACGGTAAATAATTTTTATTGTGTAATTCATTTGCAAGAGAATTCTTTTAGATTTAAATGAATTCCAGAAGTTCAATTCCCTACTTGGTTTTGTTATGTATGCAAATTAACAAATAGAGCAAATGTAATAATGAACATTAATTTGTAGGATAGTTCCTAATTGTTTTTCAATATCCTTATAATTGTTTCTGATATCTTTAATCTTCAGACTATATGTGTTTATGCAATTAATTAACGAAATATAATACTTGTTGCAGCTAATATTGTGGAATACCTGTACCCTTTTATTAACACAACAAGCCAGGAAAAGCCTCACGAGTTCCTTAGGTTGACCAGCTTAGGAGTTATTGGTTCCTTAGCAAAGGTAGTACTTATCACTCGTTAACTTAATTTCGTGTCTAATTCCATGTTCATCTTTTCATTTATTACTTTTACCATGATTTTTCTTTTTTATAATACCACAATTTTATCAGTATGATTTGGTAGTAATTAAGTTCCTCCAACCTTCTCTCTATACAGCAAGATAATGCAGATGTTGTTAACGTCCTTCTTGAGGGTGACATAGTTTCTAAACTTCTACTTTGCTTGGAGTTCGGCAATCAATTGTCAAAAACAGTAAGTTCCAGAAACCTCAAATGATTAATTATTGATAAGAACAGTACTGCTTAGATGAATATACCAACTTTATCATCTTAATGTTCTTAAAGCATCTCCGATCCAGTATTAAATTAACGTGCAATGTCAAATTTAGGTAATGTAGGAAAATCACAATGTTGTGCAATACTATTTTGATTAACTTGATGTATATTTGCTATATTTGGTGCCAAATTATAATATTGTAACTTTTAAATAATTTAATAACTAAAAGTTTACTTATATAAGTTAGCAATGTTAAAATTTATGACAAAAATTAGATACAGCATTAAAATAATATTATATATCAGAGCATAATATAGAACAGTATATCAAATATGTCATTTTCCCATGTTTTTGGCCTTGGAATTTGCATTGAATATATATATAGTCTCACAAGTTATTTGACAGAAAATTTCATAGGTGTAACACATGGTGAGAAGCATTTGAATGGTTGCGAATTAAAAGTACTCAGTGTTGGAAAAACAAAAACATATGAATTTAAAGTGCATTCCATACCATTGGATCTTTGTATTTCTTAGGAATACTCTTACTTTATGATCATGAGCCCTAGTCTCTCAATAACTCCTCTATCCATATGTTGGAATATGAAGTTGGCTGCATTTGTACTTGAAAGGCTTCTGACAATCGGAGAAATGGGTCAAGTGTACTGCTGTGCTTCTGCTCAAAGATTTTATTCGATAACCCGAGTTTTGGGACAAAGGATTGAGGAACTCGTCGAGGAACCCTGCCAGCGCTTACTGAAACATATCATTTGCTGCTATATCAAGCTCTCTGAGAACCCCAGGTTAGTAAAAATAACATTGCCGTATATAATTCTAACACGTTGATTATGTATGGTTTAGTCATTTGATTGTATTACTGCATAATATATATTTGCTAATTAATGTTGGAGTAAAATAAAATTTTCCTTCTAGGGGATGTGATGGTTTAGTGTGGTCTCTCCCGATGAAGCTTAGAGATGACACCTTTCTTGTGCCACTTAAGGTAAGTTTTATTAAAAGCTTAAGCCATGTTCATTTTACCGATTTGAATTTTTTTATAATAAAAAGATTTCATAAACATTCACATTTAATTTTTTAACTACAGTAAAAAATTCTTACATAAAATCATATCTCAACTCGAATTAAAAACTTAATCAGCGAACTAAACGAGCCTTTAATCAATTATATATAATATATATATATATATATATCACTGTTTGACAATTAGCTTAACTCTTTGCTTGGAAGTTGAATTGCTTAGGAGTAAATAAGAAAGAAATTATTGCCTCAGTTTCATGAATACTTTTGGGTTGTAGGTCATTTTGTCAATGGAATCGAAACATCTTTTAGGAATTAGTTTCTTACTGGAGTTCTTCTGACACGGGACAGTAGAAAAGACAGGGAAATAAGAAGAGGAATTAGAGAAGAATTGTAGTGGGACCCCATGTGTTTTTGTCTAAACTAGAGAGATACTCATTTGAACAAAATATTTTACATCAACACCTGCAGCCGAACTTTGTTAACTTTTGATGTATAATGATAAAAATACCCAAACAATCTCAGCCATCGGCTTACTTGTTTTATTGATCTTAGCCCTTTAGAATGATATTCTTCACCGTGGAAGTAAGTTGTTGTCATGAGTCTCCAAAGATCACTAAACATCATGTTTATTGACTAACAATGACAAAAACATCAATTTTAGGCCATAAATGTAGTTGGGATCATTCTCTAATGCAAAGAGGGATAGTTTTGTCATTTAAAAAATATATAATGGTCAAGCTGCAATTTTCGTTGAGAAATTTCCAATGTCATTACTCGATATTCATAATCAAATGACAAATTTTAAACCTACTTAGATGCAGAGCAGAAAAACTTGCCCTAGTAGTTTTGGAAAACTTATTCAACCTCTAATAAAAATATTTTAAGTAATTTAAACCTGAAACTGCTTAATATGCTTATGCTTGGATAATTTATTATTCTGATGTCCATAATTTCTGCTTTGCAGGATGACCCAACAGCATTGATGTGGCTACAAACATTAGCTCGCAATGTCACTTCTGGACATCGCTCTACGATACAACCACCACTGGCGGAGCCATTTGCGCGCTCCATCAAAGGGAAAGCGGTAATGGGGTCTCCCCTGCTCGGTCGGAAGAACTAGAAATTAAACTTTGTTCCTTATCTGTGCTTGCCTACGAATGTCATGTCATCTGTAGTTTTATTTGTTGAGATGTTAGACTAAATCTGTTCACGCTTTCCTTTTTTGGTTCTTGTTATTTTGAACTTTAAGGTGAAAGGTTTTGAACTCTACGTGGAGTCACGTTTAAAACCATCGCTAGGCTAATGCCTGCAACTACCTTTTTACGCTTTTCTGGAACTGATTATAAGCTGTCTTTGCACTACAATTTAAAGCCTTTTTTATAACCCTTTAAGTTTGGATGATTGCCTACTGTAGAGAATGTGAAAAGGCTATAACTAACCTCTTTCTTTAAGGCCTCATTCATTTCAACAATTTGAATTTTTAATTTTAGGTTTATACAGTAAAAAACTCTCAAAAAATATCACATCTAATTTTTTCTGTTACAGTGAAAAACTCTCAGAAAATGTCACATCTCAGCTCAAATTGAAAATTCGAATCCGTGAAGTGAACGAGGCCTAAGGAATCACAATCTAGTTGATTGTGGTCTGGTGGGGATGGAAAGGGAGGAAAACAGCCTCCATCATGGCAACTCTCATACGGTAAAATTTTCGTCTACAGTAACAACTGAAAGCATAATGGAGAATAAACATTACATAATAAAAATTCAAGATAGAGAACAATAGGCCTCAATCTTGAGATTTTGAATTCGACCCTTGTTGTGTGGGAGGGATCGAAAGATTGCTCTCGAGCATAAAAGAGAGATCATGCATCTGGGACAGCAATGTCTCTACATCATTCTCCTTGGATGTTGTTTCTGCACGGTAATCATCTCCAGCTTTTGCAACGTCTTCAGAATTCCCTCCAACTTTTGTGTTAGCATCAGGTGACCTGAAACATGAAGAGAAAGCATGAACAAGGTTTTGACCAACTCACATTCTTCTGGATTTCAGTATAGCCAAGGCCTACACTCCTCAAGTGACCAAGTCAAGTCATATTCAAATAGGCATGAAACAGGTTTTCAGGTAAGTCAAGCTTTATATTATCCAAGGCCACAGAGAAGTTTCACAATGATACAAGGACAAGGAAATAAGATTTAGAGACACAAGAATTGCTCAACACCTACAATGCTACCTAAATAAGTAAGAAGTGAAATGGCTCCAATACTTAATGTTTTCTTTTTATGGATGATAATCAATCACGGCAGTAGTACAAGGCATGTCAAAAGTGACACTAACAACAAGTTCATTTCATTTGAAAGAAGAGAAGCAGAAAAAGTATGACACCTGTCAAAGACAATGGCTTCTGGCAGCCTTTTATTCCCTTCTGTTGAAGCATTTGAGCTACTAAATACTCGTGAAAATAGATCTGGTTGCAAAAAGCTATCAGAGAAATTTATATCCTGGGAGTGATCATCTGAGCTAAACAAATTTATTTCTGAAGTCTTATCATTAGACGGCATTGTGGTTTGTTTCCAAGTAGTATTAGAAGGATCTTGTGCAACAGTTGAGCTAGCAAAATCATTCCAATCGTCAAACGAATCATTTTCCTCATCAGCCTTACTGCCAGGTTCATTTTTGCTGTTACTTTGCCATCTATTGTCTTCGACCCAATCAACATCGGTAGATGAAGAATAATTCACATTTCCCACTATGTTTTCATTATTCACATTTGCGGTCGTTTTAAAGTCCTCCAAAGGACTATTTAACCCCGAGTTGGAATTTTTCTGTGCATCATCTACAAACCAATCACTAGCCATGGATGCAGATCCAACTGTCTCTTCATCCTTCTTGCCAATAGAGTCTTTTGCGGGACCAAATACTTCATCCATGTGAGTAGAAAGATCTGTGGAACCCATGAAAGGATCAAATGATGTTGAGTCCTTATGAGGTGTTGCCGAAGCGGCAGATTGAAAATCTGTTCCCCAACCAGAATCAGACAAATTTTTACTCTCACTTTCAGTAGATGACACAGAGGTTTTGGAAGGCTGGGCATTCTCAAACAAAGTAAGATTCTCACGACCGGTTTCAGAAGGCTTAGCATTCTCAAACAAACTAAGATTCTCATGAACAGTTCCAGAAAGCTTAGCACTCTCAAACAAATCATCAATTTCATGACCTTGTCTAATTTCCCCACCATCAATCTGGTTGCTAGACATTGACGGCTCTGCAGATACGTTAGAAGAAGCCCCTTTCTCTTTCTGAGCAAAGAAGTTCTCAATATTTACTCCAGACAAATTCAAGGAACTTTTGCTCTGTACTGGTGTTTCATTTGAGAGACGAGATCCAAATTTCTCCAACTCAGATGGCCATTTTATCTCTAAATTTAGAAGATCAGACAATGGCAATTCATCTTTCGGAGCAGTCCTTCCTCTTTGCGAATTATTTACTTCACCAGGTGGTGCCACAGTCTCCTGCAAAACGAAGTGCCATACTTTAAAGCATCCAATACACGCAAATATCAGAATTTCATCACGCGAATATCCGCCAGTAGCAGAAGAAATACACGTCTCTAGCAAACAAATGATTGACAGAACAGAATGAAAATGGAAAATCCCAAGTTAGAGCTCTGAAAAAATCAGATATTGCAAATCGAAAGCTGCATACCAAAGCAAGAAACATGGCTCTAACTCCCAAAGATTCGTCCAGAAAGAAACATTTTGGAACTTGTTACTTCACGGAACGAAATTTGCAGCAAACACTCAAAAACATCTCTAAATTAAGAAAAAAATGCATCCTATAAACGTGTGCACATCTCATTCTTACTTTAAAGCAGATAGATAATAAGGCTGTATCATATCAAATTTCCCATGTAGTCTCCGAACAACTTGCGGAATTCGATTAAAAAATTGCATCAAATCAAGCAGAAAACAACATAATTTGCTTCAAATTGTATCCCTTTCAAAACCTAATACAAAATTCAGCTAAAAAGCAAGAATCTTACTAAAAAAACAAGGACCAAATGATTCTTCAAAACGCCACTAAAATCTAAAATCCCTCCTTTTTTTTCCTTTTTCCTCAAGACAAATTAAATCGACACAACAATCAATCCAAAGGCAAAAGCAAAGAGTGAAACCGACATACCGATCCGTCCAAATTCAGGGATTCGAGCAGCCAGCGATAGCCAAGAGTGTTTCGGAAATTGAGAGGGTCGGGTACGACGTCGTTGAAGGCTTCTTGGCCGCAAAAGACACAAATAAGAGACTGTACTCCACGGAGGAGTCTGCCCTTGCAATGCCGACACCGGAGGTACGGCGGCGAAGAATCGAGCGCCGCAACGGCTTCCTCCGGCGACGGAAGATTCGGGAGAGAGGGATCGTCTGGGTCGTACGACGAGAGATTCGCATGTTTGCGGAGTGAGATCTGGACTTGCTTTATCAGATCAATCGGGATTTCCATTTCTCCCGATCTTTCTTTCTGATTTCTCAGCGGGAGAAGGAGAACATTACAATTGATGAGTTTGATACTTCAGAAAGGAACGACACCGTGGCGCGCCATATTAAATAAACGCAATTTTTTTTTTTTCTAATTCAAATCACTCACTTGGGGTATAAAAATTGAGCCCGAACTTGAAAAACTCACCCGACCTGAATACATAGGTTTTTTTTTTAATTTCGGATTCAAATAGTACCAACCCGCACTGTGCGGGTTGGGGGCGGGTCGGGCATTCTTGAACCTGCAATGTCCCGACCCGGCCGTTTTCCACCTACCCCAAGCCAGGGGTTTTCCACCGACCCGACCGTTTCTTGAACCCGCAATGCTGCAATGTTAAGGTGTTTGTGAAATTTTTGAAGACTTTTTATGATATAACTTTGAAGTTTAGTGCCACTTTGAATGTCACTTCAAATTCTTACTTTCATGAGCTTTGTGAAATGCAAAACCAATTATCTGAATTAAGCAAACAAGAGGATTCAATACTTTCATCCATGGTTGTGAGTATGAAAAAGAAGTATGATAAGTATTGGGAGAATGTTGAGAATATAAATTGTCTTCTCTTTGTGGCTGTTGTACTTGATCCTAGGTATAAAATGGATTATTTGACATATTGTTTCTCTATAATGTATGATTCTTGCACTTCTTAAACATTAGCAAAGAATGTGAATAATACTATATATCGGCTGCATGAGGTTTATAGTGGGGACGAGGGTAAATCTATGGCTAATGAAAGTAGTGGGGAGGTGGCAACAACAAGTACAATGGAGGCAAAAACGGAAGTAGAAGGAAAAGGGTGTTTGTGGAGCTCTTTTGTTAGGAAAATGAAGGAGAATAATGTGAATGAGTACAAAAATGATGTGGACAGATACTTGACAGACCTTATGGATGATCTAACTCGGTCAAATTTTGATGTTTTAAATTGGTGGAAGAATAATGCAACTAATTATAGGTTCTCTCACTAGTTGCAAGAGACATTCTTGTCATTCATGTTTCAACGGTAGCCTCAGAATCTACTTTTAGTACCGGAGGCCACATCCTCGATCCCTTTAGGAGTTCATTGAGCCCCAAGATGGTGGAGGCATTGATTTGTACACAAAATTGGTTGCGTAGTCGTGAGCACATCAACCTTATTGACGTGGAAGACTTTAATGAATATGAAGATATTAAGTCGGGTAATCTTTTTACGTTTTACTTATTTTTTTTAATTTTATTTCATCTCCTTGTTGTTTATTTTGTTGTCCTAAACTTGATTCTGATGATTTTTTTTGTTATGTTTTCTTCTCAATATTTGTCAAATTCCGTTGCAACACATAAGGGGCAAGTTGGGAATAAAGGTGCTATTATTTTGGATTAAACTGTTTGGAGTGGACTAAATTTCCTATTTTGCTGGACTATCTTTATATGGATTGTTTATTTAACGTATTAATTTAATTTATGGACTGACTGTTAAGAAGTATGTTTGATGTTATGATAATGCTTATGGATTGTTTATGGATTTTATGCTTTTGGACTGTTAAAAGAGATATGAAGTCATAGATTAAAATTAGTTTTCACCAACCCAAGTAACCCGAGCCTACCCGAGTGATGCTTAATATTTTTGTATATAATAAATTTCCGCAAGCGTACGGTGTCAAGTTTTGAGTATAGGGTGAGTGAGTATCGTCTCCACAGGGATTGGATTAGAATTGCCGTTAAGTACCGCGATTATTGTAACTTAACTTTATCTAGGCAACCTAATAAAATGATAAGTATGAACAAAAACAAAATAAATATAAGAATAGAAATACATATCTATACACAAATGGTCTAGGGACTTGATTTCGCTTTATTATTCTTGTGTTCATCCTATTATGTAATCGCTAATCAATTCCGTTCAATTCATTAATCAAGGCTCTAATGTCACCTCGCAACCTCTCTCGAGTGCCTCACAAGGAACTATATTTAAATACCCAAAACAATATCCATATTCGAAATGAATATTTAAACACAAATTAAGCTTCGCCTTTAGAATTAGAAAATAAGAATATTGATCGCCTCCCGGCCTCACAACGACCTAAATCCTAATTTGATTATCTAACCGTTGATCTCCTCTCGGTCTCACAACAACCTAGACTATGTTTCTCAAATCAAGATAAAGAACTCAATCTCTCCCAAGCAACAAATTCGCAATCTAAAAATCATCTAACTCATTGGCCAAATAAATTAGAAGCATTAAGCATAGAGAAACATAAATGAATTGAAAACGAAATTAAATTAAGAATTAACAAAATATTCAAAACATAGCTCAAATAAAACTACATCAAGTCCTAGATATAATGTCTAGCTAAACATGAAAAAATATATGAAAGAAGATAAAACTGAATATCCATTGAAGAGCTTCCAAGGACCTCCAAGATGAAGGATTTCGGCCTCCTTTTGATGTTTTCTTCAGTTTTCTGGGGCTCTCTTTCTCAAGTGGTATCTCTTTCCTTTTATACTACTCAGTTTCGGAGCTAGGGCTTCATACGCGCGCTACAGCCTGCGTGAAAACACATTGCAGCGCGCGTTTTTGGAATAAGGATCTCTAAGATGTGGGTTGAGGCGCGCTGCAGCGTGCGGGGCATGTCTTGGGCGCGCTGCAACGCGCGGGTCTGCTTATGGGCGCACGGGCATGCACGCCTGATGGCCAGGGCGTGGGCGCACAAAGGGCCAGGGCGCGGGCGCGCGCCCCATTCTGACTTGGCTGTCCTTTGCGCGCTGTAGCCCGCTTTCTTGCATTCCAAAGCCTCCTCTTTTGTGCCTTAAAATCCTCTTTCGCCTGCTCTTGCCATTGATTCACAAGTTGGGCAAATATTCTTCTTTTCTTCATGCAAAATCCAAGTTCGCATTTATTTCTAATTCCTATAAAAAGCATACAAAATACATTAAACTAACAATAATGCTTGAAAACTTACAAATATTCAAGCTTAAAAGTACTTGATTTGTTGGTAGAAATACCCGTCATCACTGAGGTCACCCGAAAGGTTACGGGTTTGTAGACTTAAGAGAGTGTTGTAGCCTAAAGTTTTCTCAATCTGCACTGATCGGGTCGGCTCAATTTTTCGGCTCAACCCAACCTTACCCGGCCGATTTACACCCCTACTCTCACCTTCAATTAAAGAAAATAGATAGTAATTTTATAATTAAAAGAAACAAAAATTTAAGGCATTTAGCATAGATGATCCCAAATTGTTTAATAGATGATAACTTGTTCTCCTAAATTTTTTATTACTATTATTTTGACAAAAACAATCTTGAACTTTTAGAATGGTCATAAAAAGAGTTCATATATGTTATCTCTAATTATATTTTAGCAATTATCGTGTCATCTAATTATTTATCGTGTCATCTAAATTTTAGCATCTAACCACATAAATAGAAATAAAATACTAAAAATACTTTAGCAATTCACAAGGTATTAAAATTTAATTACATGGACAGCCACTGAGACAAAAAAAAAAATAAAAAAAAAATGAGACAACATATCTTGATACTTATAAAAATACCATAATTAGTAAAAGATATTAAATTTTGGATCACAGAACAGCACATGAGCATCACATGTATCATTTTTCACGAGTAATTAAGGAAATCAACATAACTAAAAAGAAAACTCATACAAATCCTCTCTTTCCCCCACCTATTTCACTTGATCTCCCATTTCAAAAAAGAAACAAAAACAAAAGATAAGAAAATATCAATATAAGATCTTATTTGAAACTTTACAAAAAGCCATATCATTTTCTAGGCATTTTAGGTGGGCATGCATCGCGGTGGGTCATGACGAGTTCAATAAATTGTGACGATAGTAGTGACTCACAAGGGGGTGACAACAACAACATGCTGGAGAAAGAGTGACGACTGCAACTAGCTCTTAAGGGGTGACATGCTTATAGCTACAACGACATTTATTTTTAGTAGTTGCAATCCTCTCTCTCTTCTTATTCCCTCTATGTTATGTTGTTATGGACTGAGGGTTTTTAAGTGAATATCTCTCTTTTTATTTTTAAAAAACCATTCGGGAGGTTATTTGTGTAATTTTTGTCAAACTGATGTTCTATGATTTTTCGTCCAAATTTTAATATCATTATAAATTTTAATCCTTTCTTAACCAATTTAATAGTTTAGAGATGTTTTTGTCAAAAAAAAAAAAAGAAGGGTTCAGGCACCAAATGGTCCCTTAGTGACCCTTACTAAACAATTTGGGGATTAATTATTCAAATTAAATCATAATTGTCCTGAATTATCTTAACGATAGAAGCATATCTTTTAGTGTCAAAATGAGTACAAAATAATAAAGAAAGTTGACAAATCAACATTGAAAAGCTACAAATATTTTAGGACCTTCTCTGATAAGCCAACATACCAGAATGTCAAGTTTTCTATCCGTCAAATTTACATAAAATCACGCAAAAGTAAAAAAATAAGCATATTTAACAGTTAAAAAAATTTAATCTACCGGTACGTTAAACGTACCAAAGAATCTCTCAAATATTTTTTTATTTTAAATAGTTTCTTATTGTTTAGCAGATTTATAGTAAGAATGATATTCTTTTCATACCTGTAAATATCATGGTGTATATATCTTGTACTATATTCTATCAATGAATTAGAAAGAAAAAACTATTCGTATAATTTCTTTCCTTTTTATTCTGTTTTATGGTATTAGAGCTATAACGTTTTTTTATTTCTCATTTGATCTATTTTCTATACATTAAGAATTATTTTGAATCGTTTTAAAAAATTAGACACTTTAAAATATGGTAGATCATTCCCGAGAAATTATGAAAATAATCCAAAAACAAACTAGTATCATTTTTGTACTTTACGACATCAAATTTCACATAAGTGATTAGACTAGATCGTTGTGCTTTATCAACGACGACAAATTTTTGTCGTTTTTCCACTGTCACGACAACACCGACATAACGTGACTTGACCAGCAACTTGGACCTCATTTTTCTGTTTTTCTTTTTCGTAAGCGAAATATATTACTTGTATCTTGTATTACTTCTTTCCAGAAATAACTACATTTTCAAAAGAAAAAAGAAATAACTACGTCCCTTTTCCAAAAAACAAAAAAAAACAAAAACATAAAACAAAACAAAAAATCACTCCCGAGTAGTATGAAAGAATAACCATAAAGATTAATTCACGAGGAAATAAATATTATTTACTTAATTAACTTTTAGAAAAAAAACAATCATTTATTTACAACTTAAAATTCTTTTTGATGAATTATAACTTAAAAATTTTAATTATTTATTTACTAATGAAAACCAAAAACTATATATTATAAAAAAATGATATTCAAACATTTTTTTTCCCTTTCTTAAATCCACGTGAATTTTAAAGAAGTATAAAATTAAAAAAGAAAACTTCAGTTAAAGTTCCTTAAAAAATAACTCACAAGTGAAGTTTGACGTCGCTAATAGTCATAGATACCGATTTGGCGATTCCGCACTGGGGCTTTTTCTGTTAGTTTTCCATTATCTTCTTGTAAATCGTAATCCCACACGCGCAAACGACACGACCACGACCAGCTGTCTCTCCCTCACTTCCGAATCCTTCCTTCTCCATTTCTGCTCTTCACCACCCCGATCCACCGGCATAACAAAAACCCACCTCTCTCTCTCTTCGATGGCGACCCAGAATCCAGCGAGAGCTTGGAGCCCGGTGGTGCTGAAAACAGGTCTGACGGTGATCGCGCTCTGCATAGCAGGCTACATTGTGGGTCCACCCCTTTACTGGCACTTCATGGAGGGTTTGGCCGCCGTTAGCCATTCATCTTCTTCTTGCCCGTCTTGCAACTGCGATTGCTCTTCTCAGCCCCTCCTCTCCATCCCTCTCGGTAATTCTCCTCTCCGATCCGCATTTAGATCTCTTTGATTTGGTATTTTGCGCTCTTGATTTCGTGAATAAGATCTTGATCCGGCTTTGAGAGTTTTTTGGGTTTATTTTACTATAATTCAGTTGTTACCCCTAATAATACCAAAATGGTTGGGATTGACAATTGGAATCGTGTGTTTTTTTTTTTTTTTGAGGGGTCAAAACCAGAATTGATTGGTCTTTGTAAGTAAATTTCTCGTGTTTGTGTATGCTTTCTCCTAGTTTTTCAAGATCGCCTTTTTAGTTTGAATTTGCTTGAAGTGGTTCATGTAACTTTTAAGCCGACTGGTATATTTAGCATAACTATCTTTATCTATCCTTTTCAACTTTCTTTCGCTTGATATGTTGATGAATGCGTACTTACTGTTTTTTTTTTTTTCTTTTTCTGCAGAATTGAGCAACAATTCCTTTACAGGTTAGTTTCTTGTCAGAGACTAGATTAGCCGTATACGTAGTATTTGGTATTTGATTTTTTTTTTTTTCCTTTTTTGTGGTGTGAGATGATATTTTTATGCGGCGGGCTGATGTTTGAACTGATGTTAAGGTTGGATCCAGATCTCCATTTACTATAATTTGCGATTATCAATTGGGGCCGACCTGCTTTAGGGCAATGTATTTTGTTTACTACATTACGGGTTCGAATTCCAAATTGATGAATTGCATGATGCATTGTTTGTCAAAGTCTCAAAGACATGAATTGGAAGATGGTAATGTTTTTGAGTACTAGTGGTGCAATTTTGCTTTTGTTCACCTTTGTTTAGACAAGATCAAACTTTAAAGCACTTGTGTTTTTTAGGATGATCTAGACCCATAATTGGCTTTTCCCCATTACTGAAAATGTTCAATGTGCATGAAACCGTTATCCCAAGGCCGCTTGATATATATGACATATCAACTTTGTTCTCACCTTGCTTGCAGCAGCATTTCTGTACTTAGAATAACCAATTCTCAATATAGTTAGAAATTTGCTGAGAAAGTTACAAAACTCGTTTAGTTTGATTTTAGCGGCTAGAATTTAGATGCTAGGTGGATATGTAGAATGATAATAATGAGGTTTCTTGTTTCACTGAATTCCTATCTGGTACATATCATGTAGACTGTGCAAAGCGTGACCCTGAGGTGAGTGAAGACACTGAGAAGAACTTTGCTGACCTATTGGCGGAGGAACTGAAGTTACGGGAGGCAGAAGCTTCGGAACAACAGCGACGGGGAGACATGGCTCTGTTAGAGGCTAAGAAGGTTACTTCCCAATATCTGAAGGAAGCAGACAAGTGCACTTCAGGAATGGAAACGTGTGAAGAAGCAAGAGAGAAAGCTGAGGCAGCATTAGCATCACAGAAGAGAATAACAGCAATTTGGGAGCAAAGGGCTCGTCAGAGAGGATGGAAAGAAGGGATGGCCAAGTCTCGAGCTCAATCGCAGGGAAATGTCCAGTCGGCATAATTGAAGCACCGGGATGTATGGAACAGCCAAAGGCTTTGTTCACATGCTGATTTCCTTCTCACCTTCACAGGGGGAGTTAATATCATTAGTCCGATATGCTATATTTACCAACTCAAGAGTTATTTGTTGCCATCACTAGTCAAAGTATAGTAAATCTTTTATTGTCATCTTGCGTATTAAGAAAATGTCAATTTTCAACTCATTCTATTGAAAATTCCACTTGCAAGACCCGGAAATTGAGAGCTGTATTTATATGTGAGAATGGAATGCAATCTACAGACTCTTTCCAGATGTTACTTTCTTGGTGAGAATTGTTAAGCACCATCCACTAATAGAAGGTGGGTTCCGCAATATGAGATCATAGGTGGGGCTTAATTTTTGTTAGTGATGGTGTTTAACAACCGATCAGTCCCTAAAAATTTTTCTTTCTTAGTTTTCATCATGACAGTTTTTGTGTGGAACTTTAGGGCCGGTTTAACAAATATATTTAAATCTATGATTCTGATTCTGTTACAGTGTTTTTCTTTCACAAAGAATTTAAATCTAAATTTTTTTTATTAATGGTTCTCTTATAAAGTTTCTGTCAATAAATTCACCAACTTAAATACGTTAAACGGGCCCTAAGTATTTTTTCTCTTGTGGACGTTTGGTTGATAGATTCAGAATCATTTTTAATTTATGTATATTATTTATGAGAGAGTATACTGTAAAAATTACGAACCATGATTTAACTTATGGCATAGATCTAACAACTAAACAACAAGTATTCCTTCTCTTAGATCACGTGATTTTGCAAGTAATGTAGCAAAATTCCTCTCCTAGTGCTTTTAACATAGAACCATGAACTTTCACAAGATTTGCTGACGTTCCATGAGTTGATAAATTGGCACTTTTTTGAGACTGTAAAGCTGATACATAGGTACTTAAATTAAAGTACACTTGCTAAAATAAATTGCTCAGTTTCTGTGTACGGCTAGACAAGTTTTTATGGTTACTACCTGTGTTTTGAACTTAATTTGGAATTGGGTAAGTAATTTTTTTATTTTATTTACACACGTCTTTTTATTTTTCACACATCATTTTAAATTAATTTTTCTTATGATAAAAAACCCGCACGCAAAATGACAAAAATAAACAATATGAAAGACTTAATTACGTAATAAAATCTTATTATAAAAAGGAAACTAATGGCATGGTGTTTTTTTTACACTACACATGTCATATCTCTAAATTATAAATGGTTGCTATTTGATATTTATAGAAAACCCTAGTATTCATCTGTTAATGACTACATGAAACAGTTGAATAAATGCACGTTAAATTTTCTTTATTTTTTATTGCATGACGATTGTGCTTTTGCTTTTTTTTTTTTTTTTTTTCTTTTTGCTTTCTTTTTTTCTAGTCATTTCATTTTTTAAGGCTAATCATTTCGTTTTTTTTATAAAGTTTGAATGATTTTTTGTCTCGTTTTTTTTTTTTTTTTATAAGAAGCACGAAACATATCTAACGTGTTTGGAATTGATTTGAAAAATGTTTTTCACATTTTTTCAGAAAAAAATGAAAATGAGGAGAATATAACATTTGGAATAACCAAAAACAAAAAACAAAAATGAAAATAATTTTTTGATTTCATGTAAAATAGAGAGAAATGAAAAATTAGTCGTTTTTCATTTTTTATTTTCGTTTTCTCCTCTCTCGAGCAGAAAGAGAGAGATATATACATATATACATACATAATTATTCTATTAATGGGTTATTTCTTTACATATGTGAGAAAGAAATATTTTCATTTTCTTATTTAATATATTATTTAAAATACTATTAGATGTTTTTAAAAATGTATAACCAAACGGAGTTTCAGTTTTTTCTTATACTGAAAATAATCTCTTGGTAAAACTACCAAACGTATTTTTAAAAATGATTTCTGTCTGATATTGAAAACTTTTTCATTTTTATTTTCATACAAAAAACATAATCATTTTGGAACGAGTTCCAAACGCACCCGTAACTTAGAAGCATTCACAGCTTAGAAGCATCCACAGTCCACTCTCCATTCCAGATGACATTACCAAAATATGAGCATCAACTTCTCTTTCACTTTGTGTACGTCCTCCATGAAGATTGCAGAGCAACTACATTTAAGCCTTGTACTGAGCTCATCAACTTTATCACATCTTGTGTACATGTAAAAAAAAAATTTAATAATAATAATAATGCCTAAATCTTAAAAAAAAAAAAAAGATAGATAGACAAATGATAATATTAAAGTAATCAATTAAAATAAAATGGTGGGTGTAAAGAGAAAAATAAAGTGGTCAATAACTAAAAATCTTATAAAATATTTAGGGTAATTTTAAAATAATAAAAGTGTTTTAAAAGAAAATTTAACCATTTTAAAAATATATGAGGTGTGTAATTAGAAAAGGAATATAGAGAGTAAAAAAAAATGTGTGTATAGAATCACTTTATTTTTTTTTTCCTGGTGGGGTTAATCATGCCTTTAAAATATTTTATTCCCTAATATGTTTTTCTTTCCTTCTCAATGCATATTTTTATTATTATTATTATTACTTTGTTATGAAATATATTTAAAATCAGTCTTGATCCAATTCTTATCTCTTAATCCAAGAGTATACTAGCACAAAAAATATATTTCATAACAAAACATGTTTCATTAGAACCAGAAAAAAAATACAAAAATAGTATTTATTGGAATAACAATTTTGCAAAATTGGTACTTTGTTTTGCTACTGTAAGGCCTTTTGATCAAAGGACTGTGGACCAGTCTATTGTCGACGTGCATGTATGACTTTAGAGCATCTGTATCAGAAGAGGCTAAAGGGCTCCCTTCTAGGCCCAAGTATTGTGGTACTGCGAGGCTCGAAGTAGCTCAAGAAAGGAGGACAAATGTACTGTACGGGAAAAAGATTTGAAGCCTTTAAAAAAAAAAAAAAAAAAAAAAAAAACTATTGTTAATTTAGCCTCAGTTGTGGAAGCAAGAATCTGTTCTTTCTTAATAAAACACACAGAAACAAAACGCATAAATCTACGTGCACTCGATTGATTGACCCATAGATGAAAATGTCCACGAGATTGTCAATATTTTCAAGATATCGACCATATTTTAAAGTTTCGATATAGATAACAGGGAAAAAAGGTGTTCTTTTTTTATAGAGATGTAGTCAGCTGATGCCTAGAGAGCTTAAGTTATGACCGGTAATATGAGTCACGATTTAAAAACGTTATGAATTTTACAGGTTAGGATTGAGAAAAAAGAGGTTCGGATCAAAATTGGATCGACCTGAAATTAACACGAAAATCACAGATTAAATTCGGGTTAGACCCGTATAACCCGAACACGATACGAAACTCATAAAAAACTAAAAATACATATATTTTTCATTACATATTTTTTATTTTATTATGAACTTGTGATATCATGATAGTTATACTCAAAATCTTATACTATTATTTGCTTAATTTCAATGGATGTTATTGTATTTTAGTGTGTTATTAATTTTAAGTTATTTCTAATATGTAAAAAACTAAATAAAAGTATACAATTTTCGTGTCAATTTCGGATTCACGAGTCAATTTCGTGTCATGTCGTGTCAACCTGAAAAGTTGTCGTGTCGTGTCGTGTTCGTATTGCGGTTTTTAAAAAATTCCGTATCACGGATCGTGTTCGGGTTGACTGTAAATTTAAAGAGAAACAATCAAAACACAACACGTGACACGAATTACTACCCCTAGCTCAAGCCCCATTGAACTTTTTTTTTCTTTCACTTTTTTTTACCTATGTATACATAAGAAAGTTTTAGAAAATTATACAAAGCCCCCTTTAAAAAATTAAAAATACAACTTATGCCCCCTTAAAATTTATGTTGCAGTTATAAGAAGCCCCCCTCATAAAAATTTATAGTTTCATCATTGCTTCTCAGAATATCCGTAAAATGTCTATAACGTCTAAAAATATTTGTAACATCGGTGAATATCTAAGATATTTTTGGATATGTCCAGAGAATGTCCAAAAATGGAGGGAAATTTTCTTTGCAGAAAAATCAATTTTGTAGCATATTTTTTTCTATTCCTTTTCAATAAAATTTGACAATTGAATGGTGAAAACAACATATGAGAAAATGTAGTGTGACTGAAATGAGTCAACTTAATGAGGATTATGTGGCCTTGAGTTCTCATTTCATGAGCTTATAAAGTGAGCAAAGTTATAGTTTTTAAATGAGGTATAATTCAAAAATATAAAATCAAGATAGGTTTTTTGATATGTTAGTATATTCTCCATCATAAGTTAAATCTTTAAATAACATTACACATGCATGGAGACTACTCATCAACTTAAATAATAAAAGTTGGAATCCAAGGATAATAAAAGTTGTTTGTGCAATTTGTAAGTTGTTTACCTATATTTTGTTCAATTAAGGGTGTTTGTGGAAGTCCTTAGGAGCATAATCCGTTTTTGTCTTGGATGCCGGTTGTGCCATTAGATTAACTTAAAACAAGCACGATATTTACTAAAAGGATTGTACTTAAAAGGTATATACATACTTCCATAACCATTTTTTTCTTCTGAAAATCTTATTTAATAGCATCTGCCACATGATACTCGGGGATAGAAACCTCCAAAGTTTCCAAACGTGGAAGACACTGAATTTGAATTGAGATATAATATTTTTTAAGATCTTTTAACTGTAACATAAAAAATTAAATATGATATTTTTTAAGAGTTTTTAACTGTAAAAATTTAAAAATAAAAATTGAGAGATTTTAGACCTTTTTAGTTTATTGATTCGAGTTTTTAATTCGAGTTGAGATATTATTTTATATAAAAATTTTTTACTGTAATAAAATTTAGATGTTGTTGTTTTTAAAATTTTTTTATTATAAAAAATTTATATCAGTAAAATAAATAAAATTTAAATTATAAAAATTTAAAATTTAAAAGTCAAATCGGTTGAATCAGCCTAAATTATTGAGGTTACACGGGCCAAAAGAGCTCATCCATGGATGTATGTACGACTATTTTTGATAAGGCAGTTGTGGCCCTCCTTTTATGTAAACTCAATTCAGAGTCAATAATGACCCCAAAAAAAAAAGAAAAAAAAAACTGGTCCCCACGTCTATTAACACACACATGACACAACACCCCCATCATTCATCATATATTTTATTTATTTATTTTTCTTTTTCCTTTTTTTTCCCCTCATGACCCATCACCGTTCATTTAAACACGTCAGATTCTGTAGGACCCACCCATCTTAAAAAGAGAGAAAATTTACATTGCAACTGAAAAGTCAATGAAATCTGTCTCTTACTTGGCCTTTTCAACGGCTGTGATCGAACTAGCGCTCCCAGTGATCGAATCGTAGCGTCGGAACGTGTAGGCGAGAATCAAACACGCGGTGAGCGTGACGTAGTCCTTGGCCGCGCACTGCTTGTTCGACTCGCTCGGCGAACCGGTCTGCGGACCGTTAGACCAGTAAAGATAATTGAGCAACTCCTTCTCTTTGGCGAACCGGTCCGGTCTAAACTCCTCCGGTTCGGAGAAGACCTTTGGGTCCCGCATAACCAGCGGCTGGTACCCGCAGAGAAGCTCGCCCTTCTTGACCTCGAAGGCCGAGTCGTGGGAGCTGAGCCGGAAGTCCTTCCTGGCCCGGGCGAACTGCAGCGGAACCGGCGGGTTGAGCCGGAGCGTCTCATAAACGACAGACTGGACGAGATCCATTTCCTTGACGGAGTCGAAGGTGAGCGGAGACGACACGCCGTTTTGCCTGACCTCTTTGACGATGCGCTGCTGAAGACCGGTTGTGTCGCCGGCGATGGTGCCGAGCAGAGTCGGGAGGAAGACGGAGAAGCCGCCGAAGGCGTTGAAGCCAAGGATGAAAAGGAGGTTGTGAATCGTCTCTTCTTGACTCAGTCCGAACTCGGTCTTGCCTCGTTCTAGTATTTCCTTACCTGTATTATAATTAATATATGTTATAGTTTGCGTACGTAAATTATCAAGTAAGAATTTAAGAAATACAAATAATTAAGGGTTTGTCTAAGATTTGGTTTTGTACGTAAGTGACAAAAAAGTCGTTTACAATTGCATATTAATCTACTCTAGGCAAAAGTAAAATCTTCAAGAGAGAGAGAATTTAAATTAGTATTAGTAAGATGTCGATTTTTTTTTTATTTTTAAAAATGGTGATCTAATTGTGACTTGTCACATTCTTCAATAATTATGCCTAACTATCTTTACCTGTGTTATAATTATGTGTTATAGTAGTTTACGTACGTAAATTAAGGGTTGAGTAATAATTTAAGATAAGTAATTCCACTAGTTTATTTTTGTATTGGATTTGTCTAAGATTTGTTTTGTAGTACATTATAAAAAATAAAAAATAAAAAGAGTCGTTTTCAATTGTACGTATCCTGTAGGCAAAAGTAAAAACTAAAAATCTTCAAGATAGATTTTGTTTATTAAAAAAAAAAAAAGTTGTGATCTAATTGTGACTTGTCAAATTCTTCAATAATTAGTGCACAAAGATTGTTTGTTCTTTTGCTAAATATTCACAGCAAATGCCAAGAGACAAGATTAACTGACCAAATTATTCGTGACACGTGCTTCTTAAAGACCTAAATCAAGAGTTGATTTTTTTTTCCCCAGAGTTGATTTATTTTAACTAACATTAGCTTTTCGAAGGTTAATGGGTCCAAAGAGTACCTTATTTTATGTCTGGTTTAGACGAGATATGTTTTTTTTTTTTTTTTTTTTTTTTTTTGCTGAGTACAAGAGATGTGAAATTAAAGCACTTGTAATAGTACAAGCTCAGAAACCGAATTGTAATAAACAGTGTCTTATGCTTTCTAATGTAGATGATAAGCTAATTTCCCTGTAGGAATATCTTCTATTAATAGAGGTTGTTATAGTACTGGATGCCTTAATTTAATGAAAACGTTGTCTTATTCTTAAAGGACCTAAAAATAAAAATTTACCTGATAGAGACGGTTTTGGTAATTCTCTATTTCTCTTTAGTCTTTTCCAAACAGAAATATAGCAGTGCACAAAGTCTAAAGAAATCCGTGGTTGTTGTTGTAAGAACTTACCGTTATCCAATATAAATTGATAGAGCTTATTGTAGTCACCACTGACAAGGAAAAAAGGGTAGGCGAAAGAGTGGAGGAAGATCTCCTCAAGGGGCTGAAGAACGCCAATCTTGACGGTGGGGAGGAGCTGGAGGGCAAGCCAGCGGTCGAGCATAACGTGGCCGGATTCCGACATTTCTGGCGAGATCGAAGGATCGCATCCAATTAGGGACTTGGTGAGGAACTTGAAGATGAACTTCTGTAGTGGGACTAAGTAGATGGAAGAATTGTTCTTGGATAGGTCGGTTTCTACTGTGTCCCACATCGTTGAGAGGCTTGAAGTTAGTTCTGAGACCCAAACCTTGGAACTTCTTTTTAATACGTCCATTGCAAAGTTTTTCACCTGTGAACCAGCAGATCGCGTGTACACTTATTAAGGTCCATCCATGATTAATGTTTGTAGTTTAGCAGGAAACTAAACTCATGCCGAAACAAAATAATTAGCCCAAGTAATTTTGCATTTGTAGCATACTGCTGCTCATCACAATATTGATTTGTTATACATAAAACTAGACAATTTTCGAGATCTTCAAAAAAATGACACAATACGACATTTTTATTAGTAAAATAATTTTATAAAAACTCTATTTGCAAAACGATTACAAAACGACTATTTTTTTTATAAAAAAAAAAAAAAAAAATCATTTTCTCAATTTCACTTTGTTAGAGAAGGGTTGACCTTCATAACCTAACGTAACTTGTACTGAGACAAACCTGTTATGTTCAAAGTAATGTGTAGCTATTCATTTTCACAGAATTTCTTACACTAATTCCGTATGTCCAAAACCATGACTACCTTATCTATTTTTATCTCTTTCACGACTGATCTTAGCTAATTAAGCATGTTTAACACGGAACAAGAGAGAGAAATCTGTATTGTGAGTTATCCACCACTCAAGAGAAATAAAAGTACAGATATTTAGGAGATTAGCAAAAATTATTAGGCGCGTTTCGAACTCGTTTTAAAATAATTTTATTTTTTATATGAAAATAAAAATATTTTTAATCTCAGACAGAAATTATTTTTAAAACTACATTTGATAGTTTTATCAAGAGATTATTTTCAGTATAAAAAAAATTCATTAATGTCTCTCTTTTTCTCTCTGCTCAAGAGAAGAGAAAATGAAAATAAAAAATAAAAAACGACTAAAAGTCATTTTTCATTTCTTTATCATTCTACACTAAATTAAAAAATTATTTTTATTTTTATTTTTTATCTTTATTACGTTAAACGTTGTTTTAAAAACGTTTTTCTTTTTTCTTTTTAAAAAAATATAATCAATTCTAAATACAGCCGTTTTGTCCCTCTCCGGTCTCTCAATCTCCCCCACCAAAATATCCCATACAAAGTAACAAGTCCTTGCATTAAAGTGGACCACCTGTAAAGATAATATGGTCCAGAAAACAGTAGGCAACACATGAGCTCAACAGCCCCGGGAAAGTGTCTCTCGATAAATCTCAAAATCGTACTGATGTTTACAAGTCAGTTGGAGATTGGTAGCTCCCACGTGTTTCACACTTGAACCTTTCAATTAGACTTTTTTTCACTAAATTCCAAAAACGTCTTTAAAATCTTTTGAATTATTTAATAGATGTATTTAAATTTAAATCATAATTTTACTATAATATTTTCATTTTAAAAAATATTTAAATTAAAAATATTTTTGCTAATAATTTTTCATAAAAAAATTTAAATTAAAACTTAAATCATAATTTAAATACACACTTTAAACAGGGCCCTTTAATTGCAAATAGACAAGCAGTACTGTTTTCTTTTGGCTTTCATGTTCTTCAGATGACAAACTGTTCATTAGCTATAATTAATTACAAAATAATCCCTTTATATTTCCCGCAAATCGCCGATCATTGAATGGAGAAGAAAAACGTTTTTCTATTACTCTTTTTTTTTTTGGCTATCCAAATTCAGTTTTTTTTTTTTTTTTTTTAAATGGAAATTCCATTCAGTTGTTACTTGGTACTTTGATGAGTTTCAATTTCTAACCTCCATTTGGAGAGCGAGAAAAATAAAAAAAATAAAAAAAATCTCTCCATTCTTGTCATACGTTGAGTTATCATCAAAAGGACAACCCGTGATCCAAACCCCACAAACAAAGTTCTTACTCGTTTTTGGTTAATTCAATTTTCACTCTCAAAATATTGGGATATCTCACTATATGCAACCTAAATGATTAAAAATATTAAAAACAAAATTGACCGTTTTATTGACTGAAGTACCAAAATTACACCACATTATGAGTTCATGGGTATATTTTGTACTATCTTAAATTATAAAAGATAAAGTGAGACAATTTTAAATCTTCACAATTAAAGTCTCATTAATTTTTTTAATTTTAATTTTATTATAATTAAAAATTTTATAAAAAATTATATTTTATATTTTATTATAATTAAAAAATTTTATATAAAATCACACCTCAATTCTCAATTCTAACGGGTTTAAAATGAACCCTTTCCCCAAAACCCAAGTAAAACAAAGCTCAAGACTTTGAGGGCAAAAAAAAAAAAAAAAGAAATAATAATAATAATAAAGAAAAATAAAGGGTTAATGAATTAATAAAGCTGGATGAACTACCTGAGAGTGTTTGGGCTCAGCAGTGTCGAGATAAGCTCCGACCCGAATATCGCCCGTGAACTTGACACTGGGCATGAAATCTCCGACAAGAACGTTCTTCTTCTCGACGATTTCCATGTCGAAGAGGTGAGAGAATGACTTGCAGTCGAGGACAGCCACGATGTTCGGATTCGCGCTGAAGAAAGGGAACGTCGGCGGGATGTTGGTACGGAAAACAGTGCTCTTGTACTTGTCGATTCGTTTTCTGAAGAAAGTCTCCGGTCCTTGGAACCAGAAGTAGTCCAGCCTGTCCGAGATGGGCCCCAGCAACGGCCAACCGTAGCTCCCCGGAATCGTACGGACGGGGAGTGATGCCGGCGGCGACGAAGCTAACGGCGGCGGCGGCGGCGATGATGGCGCTGGTGGTGATATGCTCATCATGGTCATGATCGACATCGGATTTTGGGTCTTTGTTGGTTTTTTTTTTTTTCAATTATGGGAGTGATTGAATATTAGTGATCGTGATTTCCTAGAAGAGAGGAGAGAGGAGAGATTTGATGAAGAGCAAATTAGCTCACGGCGAGCTCTTGGTCTGGTCATATATATGGATTTTGAGAGGGATGTGTGTGTATATATATATATATATATGTGTGTGTGGCGAAAAAGAAAATCTAGCTGTAAAAATGCTTTTATTTATATATATATTTTACTTTTAAAAAAAAATTGGTTGGAAAAAAGAGGAGTTTTTCTTGTCTCTTTTTGCTAGGAAAAGTCTAGCTCAACGTTGAAACGGTTTGGACAACACCATTTTTGGCGTTTTGTATGTTCCCTGGAGTTTGAAAGACGAACTAGGCAGCATTAAGAATGCATAAACAATACCGGGAGTTTCAAAAGGAGTAGTACTACTGTAAAAAGTCAATTAAGTAACACAAACATGTAAAAGAATTTTCAAGCATGGTTTTAGATTTCATAAGAAAAAAGATATAAGGACTGTCCCTAATCTAATTGAAACTTTTTTTTTGTTTGTGTGTTTTTTTCCGCTCATAATATCTGTCACATCTAATTTTAGAAGTACATGTCATTTATTGCGCAAATGATTCACATGGAATTGGAATAGGGATTGAGACCGGGATTGGATTCAAGTCCATGAGATACGGAAGAAAACAAGTGCTAGAACAATAAAAGCAAATGGTGCATACTACATACATTACCGAAACTTTTTGCTTTTAAAGATATTTTTGGTGGATTACTTATGGTGTTGTGGTCCAAAAAATTTTGTTAGATAATACTTGGAATTATTTTATCCAAATGCTTTTGAAGAATCTCAAATCCAAGAAGCAACTAAAAGTTGGGATTAGAGCTTTATATTTATTATTATTATTATTATTTTCAAAGGAAAGCATATGTTACGGAGGCTTTATTCACTTCGCGGATTCGAGTTTTCAATTCGAGTTGAGAATGAGATGTGACATTTTCTGATAGCTTTTCACTGTAACAAAAAAAGTTAGATGTGACATTTTCTGAAATCTTTTTACTGTAAAAATTTAGAACTGAAAACTCAAATCGGTGAAATGAACGAGGTATTAGACTTACAGTATATCATGTGTTATTCTATAAATAGAAAATAAAGATTACCAGTGGGATAAAAACCCACAACCTCCAAACCAAAGTCCTTTTTCCACGCCATTAGACTAAAGAGTTTTAGGTGAATTTCGTATGCTTTAATTTATCTTATAATTAAATAGGACAGGTGATTATTAGCTTTTGTTTATTTTTTGCGAGCTACATATGATATGTGTGATTAGTTTTTTCCTTCTTGGCTTAAAATGTACCATGTTCACAATTCAAATTAGCTAGCGCATATTATGGCATGTGCACTTATCTTCACGATCACAGTTATGAAATATTGACTAGATAATAAATGGCAAAGACAATTTTCGTCATAAACAAAACAAGATAATGTGATGGCCATCCAACCAGTGCCCTCAAATCATAAAAACGAATCTATAAGTGGGTCCTAGTTGATCTTCTCTACGTAAATGTAAAATCTTCATTAGTTCACTCAATACAAAAAAGACAGAAGGTCAATAGTTGAAAAATAATTTTATTTAATATTAATCCGATGTGACATTTGCCACATACTTTAAAAAAATGTGTTAAATGAGTGAAGGAAATACCTTCTCCGGCTAAAAGCAATGACTCCAATAAACAGGCATCACACGCGCACAAATCAGACGACAAAAGAGCACATGCCTACATGAAATTCTAATACACATATACGTAGCACTAAGAGTACCAATTTAAATCTTAATTGTCATTTTTTTTATTAATACATATAATTTTTTATTATTAATTGACTTAATAATATTTTAAATACCTATCAATAAAAAAATAACAATTCACACGTCACATCATTTAACACACAAAAATTTAGATTTGAGTTAATATTCTTAATATTATACATTTCACATACACCATAACTTTTAAGGCATGAAAAACATGTACTAATCAAGGATATCCTTTGGTATATGTGACAATAAAAAAAAAAATTGCAGTTGCAGATTTTTGGCTATTTAAGTCTGGTTTGGAAACACTGTAAACGTTCAAGCAAAAAAAATATACATTATGCCCAGCCAAAAAAAAAAATATATTATGAACAAATGAAAAGGGTTGATCAGATAAATATACAAACTTCTAGGGAAGATACTTTTAGTATCAGAAGAATAATAGGAAGAATTACTACATGGAGTTGTTAGCATCACCATTTTCAAATGGTACAAAATATGAAGGAACACAGCTTTTACAAGGTACAAATCGATATCGATAAGATAAGAAATCCATAGACCTCTCAAGTTGAGCATATATTAGAAAGAGGAAGTTGTATAGTAAGATCGTCCATGTTGGTGTGACCATGGATGCTCAACCCATGCTCATTAGCTAGATGTAACAAGCATATGAAACACAAGTGAGGGGACACATCGTTGATAGTTGCGGCGGCTCTGCAGTCACTAGGTAAGTTGGCCAATATTTTCCTGAAGGATATTGGTTCTTCTTGATCCTTTTACAAAGATAGAAATTTAAGAATTAGAACTGACCCTTTCAAACGCATTATCTGCTAGAGACAAAACATCCGGTAAAGCATTGATAGCGTTAGAATTGGACCTACGTCTACCAAATGTGGAAAAATTTGGCATTCACATTGGTGTCAAATCGGACAGGATGAACAATATACAAAGAATATGTCTAAGCTATTTAGTGACGTGATGCAATTTTTCCTTCCCTATCAATTGAACAATCATTGGGTTATTTCACCACCAAGGTAACTTCAAACTTCCATCAATATCCAGAGATTTTTTATTTTATTTCATTTCGTGTAACAATATCCTTGGAACTTATTACTCTCCTAATATTATAATTATCCAGTTTGATGTATGAAATATATAGCCTTAGTAGGGAATGATAAATATATACAGCTCGATGTATGAATTATATGAAACTATGGATACAGCAGTTCCGTATATCAACATGAACTTGTATCTAGTGATCAAATAACATAGATAATAGGCTATAAGTTCATCTCCAGGTGGCCCACTATTTCATCAGGCGGGGAAAAAAAAATAGTTGATACACATCAATATTAACATGAGCGAGTAGATTTTCAAAGATAGAAGTTAAGTGACAGAATAGAATGACACAATCATCAAGCAATTCAAAATGAAAACCACAGGTTAAGAGTAGATATTAAATTTCGGACCATTTATATTTCTTCACCAAAAATCTACGCTATCAGTGGAATAGCATACCTGAATAACTTGATTAGATTGTTGCATATGGTCCCAGAGAGTTTCTTTAAGAGCCTGGACATCAACTTGTTTAGAAGTTTTATCATACTGGACTTCAATTTTATTCACCTGTATTGTTTAGATGAGAAAGCAAATAAGCTTAATCTGCAAACGAGTTACCCGTCTGTTTGAGTTAAAGTTGCGCACTAAAACACATTGTAACATTTCATTCTTCCAAATCTCGATGATATTTAACACCTGACAGAGTTCCAAACTAGAAATATTGTGTACATCTGTGGATCAAGGTTATAAGTCCGTCATTCAAATTCATAAGGCAACCTCACTATGAGTTCCAGCCCACATATAAATCCGAAAATCAGAAGTTAACCAAGCTAAAGAATAAGAAAACAAACCTGACGAGGTTGAGAAACAAGAGTGCTGGACTCCTCATCACTCTGGACAATTCGTTCATCACATTGGCCACCAAGTACACTTTCATTATCCCATGATGGATGTTGTCCGTAATCATCAAATTGTTGCATTGTCTCATCTGACAACAAAAACAAGATTCATAATCACGTTAACGTTATAGTGATGGACACCATATAACTAACATATGCACATCTTATCATTAAGGAAAAGAGAAAGAAGAAAGAAAAAACTGAAGAACAGAAATAAAATAAAATAAAAACAAAAAACAAAAAGATATGTGAGTCAATTATTTCCATCAAGTAGAACTACCTGAGAACTTTCTTCTTCTTCTCCCAATGCACTGCAGAAAGAAAAATCAATTCATAGGAAATATTTAGGCATAGGGAGTTTAAAGAAAAAGACCAAATATATATATATATATATATGTATATAATAAAAAACATCTAAGTTTGTCACAAATATACCTTCAGATTAGGTAGCAGAAACAACTTAACAAGATCCTCCGGTTGATAGTGGCAATCCTCAGGAAGCTTGGTATTGCAAGTTGCTTTATTTGCAGGCAGCAACAATGTCTTGGGATTTTTAGGAGGAGCAAAGATATCTAAAATCTCTTTGTACAAGGATCTTGTGAAATTGATTTCAGGTTCTACCTGTTTCTGGTTCCTCTTTTTCTTAGTTATTAGTGCCGAGCCATTTTCTTTTGGAGGATCAACATCTGAAGCTAGGATTACATATTCAAGATCACATTACCAAAAAGAGCCACTTGGAACAAAATATTAAAAAAGGAGCTGGTACTTGCATTGTGATACGAACCTTTAGTTTTGTGATACTTCCAATGCTCAGGACCTGCCCAAGCATTTTGTTTTGAAGCTAGTCCAAGACTTGAGAACAAATACTCATCAACGTTATTGAATCTGTCCTCAGCATTGTGGTCATAGAAAGTACTAGGTTCATGTTCCTGCATAAAATAACGATTTATGTGAAACATCTAATATTAGCTATAGTTGGAGAACAGTATGTGTAAAAGCGTTTGTGAAGCAGGCAAGTCAGGTTCTATTCGACGTGTAATCTGTAACAGAAACCTCATTATAATCTGGAAATGTTGAATCTGCATAACTTGGACCCTCATCTACCATGGCTTCCTCATGATCATGATCATTACTCCAGGTCACACAATCCTCAATTGCGTCATCATTAAACTCGGCCTCATTATAAACAGCATCTTCTGTCAATGTCTGGCCAGAAGAATTGAAATTTGATGGCCTTCTGTTATCTTCGTCAAATCGATTGACTATACTCCTAAGAGTTGGTGAGATTTCTTCTTTCACTCGCATATTCAGTACCATCTGTTCAATATATTCTGAAAAAAAAAAAAAAAGAGTTTCCAGGATAAGTTGATTTTGATTGAATTTCCTAATCTAGAGGCACCATATTGACAAGAGTTTCCAGGAATAAGATGTATCCAGAAATTGCAACATACCTTTAGCAAAAGAAAGATCAATTGTATTTGTTTTATCTTGTTGATTATCACATGATATGCACTTCCCTGGTACCTCCAGTGAATCAAAGAGCACTTTGCATCCACTGTATACTCCAAGATTGTTCATTAAAAGACCCTTGGCTCCACCTTCATCAAATTGTGCTGATGTCTGATGATAGAGTGGATCCACAGCGAATGCAACTGCAAAGGCAATAGTTTTTACCTTACGTTTGACCAAGTATTTAAAATCATAAAACTTATAGTAAAATAAGAAGGAAAATGTCTTCACCATCAAACTTTTTGACATTAAGAGCCTCAAAAGATGATTCCAGCGTTGACAAAGGTGAGAGCTGCATGTATGGATCTGGCTTTAGAATGTTAGTTCAGTAAATTAATCTACTCAACAAAATAAAGACTATCAACCTTTCTCTCTGTCTCTTTCTTTGATTGACCTCCTTTTTGTCCACTATCAACATTGGCATCGTCCACAACTGCATCTAATAAAAGGAGGTATGTGGTTAACAATTGTGAGTGGAGCACGCATGCAATAGAAGAATGCAACTGAGCTAGCTACTGAGGGTATAAAACACAGAAAGATCATTACGGCAAGCCATCAAATACATCTTATTGAAGCAAACTTTACAAACATAACAAAGTTTTTCAACCATCAACGTCCCAAAAGATTCAGGTTATCCAAATTTTGTTATAAATGTGTAGAACATAAAAAGGTTAGTTAAAAAAAAATAATAAAAAAAAAGATTATTTAAAACTTCCATTCTGTCCATCCTGAAAATATGAAATGATTAATATGCTCAGAAATATAATTCTCCCCAAGTCACAGACTCACATGATTATTCTAAAAGAAAGGTATGACAATTGAAAAACAAAAAGAAAAAGTTCGTTATGGTTAACCCTAACCTTGTTCATTTTCTTGACCTGCTCTATTCATCCCACCAAGGACTTTGTATGCCTCAGAGTGTACTGAATCCACCCTTAATGAATAAATCTTGACCCCAGCTTCAAGAGTGCAGCTTGCCTACAAATATAAAAGTGATAAGTTTAAGTGCACATAACAAGGGCAAAAGGTTATCAGATTGCACGTGCAGTGTTTAACATCTAGCAAAGAAGTAAGATTATATGTGCTTACAACAATATTGTTCAAACCATAATTTGTGCTTACAACAATACTAACCAAACCATAATTGTTCATTATAGGTATAAATTACATTTAAGTCTAATGTATGCGCACACATAACTAGCAAAACGCCGAAGGCAGAACATGGCCACAACCTAAGAAAACAATATTTTTTTAGTAAATTTCAAAATAAAAAACCAAAAGACGTTGAAGAATAACATCAAAAGAAACTAGTACAGTGGGATATCTCTCCCTCTCAATTTCTGTATGTCCTGCATATCTTAGTACCTGCGTCGATGTTTGGATTAATAGAATTCTGTTTATTTTTCCGGAACTATGAAATCTAGCTGGTCCATATCCAATTAACCCAGGTGTATGCTTAACTAAATGTAACGTTTAAACTTTAAAGTTCCCATATTTTTCCTAAATCCAAATCGGCTATCCACCTCCAAACTAATTTCACCTGAATTCTATGGAGAATCATTTTGCATTGCCGTTCTTAGTATAAATAAGAGCAGCAGCGGTATTACCTTTTGAAAATTGGTCTCCATGTCATTTTCTTCAACCTTGATAATCTCCGTTAAATGGTCTATCAGATTCAGTTCCCAAGTATTCTTCTGATTAATTTTCTGCAAAGAAATCAAATCGAACACAAAGTTTACATAAAGCATCAAAGTATACTAGACAGAAAATAATACCACAGTTCAACCGCAATTTTCCTAAACGGAAAAAAGAGTCAACCGAAATTGAAACCCTAACACAAACTCGAATATAATACGGAAATGCAAAAAGAATCGCACACAGAGTTTTACAGAGAAAATAAAGAACGGACGTTTTCGCTCGCAAGTTTGATGCAATTTTGGAACAACACAAGGATCTGCTGCTTGTCCAGACAGGGATCGAGATCGTCGCGACAGGGAAGCGCATTGGCAGTGACGGTCTTCCGGCGAATTGCGGCGGCGCGTGCAGCGCGTGCCTGTGCGCGCTCAAGCTGGTCATCGTTGGAGCCCAAGAAGAAGGGGCTGGTGCTAGACTGGAGGCGCGACGACATGGGAACCTTCTGCTTCTGGTTGGTTGGGTTAGAGCTAAGAATTTCCGCCATGATCTGCTTGGAACTTCTGCGTTCCTGCAATTTGATCGGATAAAATTAGGGTTTCTGGAGGCTTGAATTTGGGAGAACGTTTTCAGTTTTGTTTTTGATAAACGAATTTGGGAGAAATTTAGGGTTGAAGTTCGTACGCGAGAAAGAAATGGGGTCCTTACTGCTTTGAAGCAGAAAAAGGGTTTCCCTCCGTTTTTGCGTGTTTGAAATTTCGAGTCGAGTTGTCTAACTGACACGGCGTCGTTTTGTTGTCTTAAGGCACTTGTTAGTTTTTTGGTTGGAGCTAATTGAATAGAATGGAACATGTAGGTGATTTTTAATTCGATTTTGTCAATTCATTAACAAACATTCTTAAGGCCGTCGCGTTTGAAGAGAATTTTTTTATTTAAATTTTTTATGAAAAGAAAACATTATAATAGAATTAGAATTATGGATTTAAATACGTGTATTAAACGAGCCTTAAATAATTAAAAGTTAAAAATAATTAAAAGTTAAAACGTAACAGTGTGCTATTTATTTTGTAGGTCCAACTTGAACAATTTATTTAAATTAAAAAATTTAAAGAGAAATTTAGGATATAAATTAAATATAACATTCAAAATAGCATAATACATTTTAACACAAAATAAAACAATACATTGAATATGACATGCTTACATTTTTTCCGCCAAATACAAAATCGACATATCAAGGGACATAATTATGAGGAAGAATACTTTTGTCACCTAAACGTCAAATCTCAGCATTAAAAGGATGTAAAGTGTCTAGATTTTACCTCTAAATAAGGGTGTTCACGCCCACATATCGATAATTACAAATTACGAATCAAATAATAAGTGAACCCAAAAATATCGTGGGGATTTCACCAACGCTAAAACAAAACAAAAAGTTTCCCAAATCTAACCCAAACTAACAAGTATTCTTTTTTTGCAAAATATTTGATTGAAAAGCACATTTTTGCACTTCTCTCACAAATTCATTTCAAGAAACTTATCATAACGGACGAATTTGTAACATATTGTTGATGCAAGATTTGGAGTCACAAAATGAGAGAAAGCTACGGACTGGGGGCACCGAGGGGCTCCCCAAGGACTCCGATGCTTAAGTTAGACATGGGTCCTAGGGAAAAGTGAGCATAACTCAGTATTTAATGATATAGAGCACTAGTGGTGGTGCTTGTGCCCACGAGATTCCGAGGAAAGCTCGCCGGTGTAAATGTAGAGAGAGAGAGTAGTAGTGGTGGTGAAAGATCTCCATAGTTTGGCCCTTCTCAAGGAGAGCCCTTTTTGCCTCTTAGGGGATGTTTGGTGGAGGTATTCGTTTCCTGATTCGAATCATGATTCATGATTCGTTACAGTATCTTCTCTCATAAAAAATTCACGTAAATCGAAAATAATTCGAATCACATGGTTTGAATCCTCCAACTAAACGTCCTCTTAGTATTGTGGAATAGAGTGGAGAGGTTGGGAGAATAGTGGCTTGAGAGCCCAAAATTGAGGAACCCCTTTACCTTGTAAGTGGAGGCCGAGATTTTCCTAACCCGTACAAACAAAAACTAGGACAAATATTCATAACAAAAAAAGTGTGCCAAATAAAACCCAATCTAACCCGTGAGAATTTATTTGGATTGGGTGGGTTGTCGGTTTTCGGCTTCGGTGAAGAGCCATGCCCTGAATTAGGTAAACGGAGAAAGACATGGCCAAAGGTGCCTGAAAATCATGTTCAATTTTAGTGTCCAGATTACTTTCTTTAGTCTACAGCCACTAGAGCGGACTTCCCTTTGACAAACCGGTGTGCAGTGCAAGATTTATTCGTTTCGCTAGTTTGAATCATAACTCAACTTTTTACAACAATGTTTTTTTTCATAAAAATTTAAATTCAACTTTATTTGTTATAGTGTTTACTCTCACATGAATTTCACTTTTTAATCAAGTTCTCAACTCGAACAAGCTAAACGAATGGGGCCTTGAACTTTCCTTTTAGTATCTTGCATCTACGGAACAGTCCAACTTTGTCAGCTTGCACAATTTGTTATGTGAAGCTGACTTAAAGCTAACTAGAATGTCTTGTCCTGGCTATTATGATACGTGCTTGTGAACCTATTTGAAAGCAATTTCTACCCTTTTATCACAATCATATCATGATCCAAGACTCAGAAAAAATTCTGCCTTGTTCTGGGGAATATACTGAAGAGCTGCTTGCATAGCTCATTGTAACCAAATGCATATGACAACTATACCACCCACCAAGGAAGTAATTAAACAATTGAAAGAAAATGTAGATTAGCAGCCAGACTAGTCATCGATAACGAAAAGAATGAATAAATATATTGATATGTATCAAGAGTTCAGAGTTGCACAACAGGAGAATCCTTTAATTTAATAAAAGTGACTTCAGATATGACAGCGTTCAAATTAACCTTAAGAATTAAGATTAAGGAATTAACTCACTTTTCAACAGGCTCCTCCGGACCTTGCTTGTATTGCACATACTCAGCAGCCCATCAGTAAAATACTCAAAGAATCGGTATCCACTACCACATATTTTCTAGGAGTCTTTCATCAGATATGCTACTATGCATCCCAAAACCGCACCAGCAACAACCTTACCAATGGAAAAAAATGGTCATTAATACGTGACGATAAGGACAGTAAAAGATTCACAAAAGAAAAATACAGTGCTTTCATGAACTCATTACAAATGTGTTACTAAACAGTGTGAAATGAATCATGGAAAAACCAGTTGAAGGAAATTAAACAAAGTTCAGTGACTTATTAGTGCTAAGACTAATTGCTCTGTTTATCAAATAAAACATCAATAAAACTTGTGATTTCCGTCTTTTTACTTTTTCCCACTCCGCGATTACAGATTCTAATGAAAAGTGTGCACAACAGATTATTACTTCATTATTCTCTGGTCCACAGCAACCAAAACAAGATAATCTCAAAACACAAATATCAAGGCATGTCAACAGTGTCAAATATCATGGACAGTTGCTACATCAAAGCTAGCATATGAACCGTTCAATTATACTAGCATGAAAGAAGCATAAAAGCAGACACAAAAACAAAATGCATCAAGAGTGCAGGAATACCTGAGGTGGAGTATGCCCTAGAGAATCACGTAGAGCTGTAGCATTGGATAACGGATGCTCTGGAGGAAGCTCACACACAATTTGGTTCAACAACTGCAAATAACAAGCAATGTGGTTATCAAACGCAACACATGAAATAAATTCAATCAGGAACTAACCTACGAAAGTATCACCACAACAAAGATAAACCCAAACACCAAATTGGTTGGAAAAAGGGAGAGCTTACTTCAGCTTGCCGACCGGCATGAAGTCTAACTCCTGTGGCATCATACATTACCTGCAAAAGCTCCAACATAGTCACGCACACGCACACATGATCTCGCTAAAAAATTTACCCAGAAACTCGTCGAGAAACAATCCATTCCATGTCAACATTTCAACACGCAACACAATCAAGTATACAACTCTGGACATTTTTAAACCAAATTCAGCTGGCTGTATCTCATATTCACATCATGCTATCAAAACACAATCTACATCTATGAACAAGGAGTCCTTGCAATTAGCAGATATTTCATTTAGCAGTGATCTTTAAATGCTTTTCTTCATTTCTTAATCAACTAAAGGAATCAATTTCCTATTCCTATTATTACCAAAAGAGCAAGACTTGCAGCGAGAAGTAATCTAATCTAAAACAAACAAGAAGATGGAGCTTTTGATATTACGTACAACGCAAGCCAAAACCACCGCAACGGCCCAGAGCTCTAGCCGCCGCCAGAGCCATCACCATCGCGGAGTGCGACGACGGCATTCTGCCGGAATCCAGCATTCTCTTTGAATCCCATCTCTTATCCTTGTACCTAATCATATGCCAATCTAGGATTAAAATCCACACAAAATAACAAAGAAAAGCTACACAGCTTTATTTTTCACGGAAATGGCACAGATCGTACGGACCAGGTGGTGAAGAGCTTGAGGAACTGAGCGACGGCGCAGGCGAGGAACGCGGAGAGCAGAGGGAGATTGGAAGGTAAAACCGACGAATGCGACGCCGTTCCGGCGCCGGAATTCGCGTCGGCGATTGTAAGCACCTCGTCCATTTTCAAGCCGAACCGAGAAAAGAATTGAAGAAGCTCTTGTAGCTCTTCTCTTATTAAGCTTTGAAAGAAAGAGGAAGAAGAAAGATTCTGTTTGTCTGAAAATGAATTCTTCTCAGTTGATTAGAGAATGAGCTCAAGTGAGCTTAAATATACTGATTAGCGTAACTAACACCTAACTAATTGTTCTAACAACTAATCAAAACATGCCAGCTGTACAATCTAAAACTAACTGATTATTTACAATTCTGCTAGATAACTAACTAGGCTTAGCAGAACTACTTTCTCTAACATCTCTCAATGTGAGTCAATGTCGGAACGAGCGGGCTCCGAGTCAGGTAGTTCGGCCGTGTAGGTTCTACCGGAGGATTGGCCCCACCATTGATTGACAGATTAGATTTTAGATTATTGGGAGCAACATGAACTTGGGACTAGGCTGTCTGTTTTGTCTCTTCTGTTTCTTTTTTGTTTTCCCCACGACAAAAACGGTGATAAATATATAACTGTAATAAACAAGGAGTCACTCTGTCCAAATGTGAAACTGGAAATTTGGGATTCTCAGGCATTCTTTTTTTTACCAACAGTTTTTAAATTTTTTTTTTTTTTTTCCAACAAAGAAAGAAGTACATAATTCTTTTTTTTTTCTTTTCTTTTCCTCAGAGCAAAGAGAAAAAAAAAAAAAGTACACTCTTCTTTTTTTACTTAAAAAAAGAACCTTTTATTTTGTGACTAAATTTGCTGTTTTTTCGATTTTTTGGTTCATAGTTTTGAAAATAAATTAAAATTTGGGATATGGAATTGGAAAACTGTCAGTTTCAGGGAAAAAGCTACTAAACAGTGACCAAAGAGCCTCTCTTACAAGCCATGCTCTCTCTCTGTGTTGCGTTGCTATAAAAAACTCTGCGCTCTATATTTTTCCACTACAAAGTGAAATAACTATCCTCGCTTACCGTTTTCTGTAAATTTACAATCTCACCTGAACAAGAGTTTTAACCCCAGAAATAGAAAATGTACAGAAATGATGATGAAGAAGATGCATGTTTAATAATCATGATCAACTTCAGGCAATAAGGGGTTTAATGGCCCGCTCTGCTTGCTAGGTAATGGTGTGTTTCTTCGAGATTGACGTTTCGTTGGCACGATCGCAGGCTCCTCCTTCAAGTCTTCTGTAGCCGCATCGCTGTCGCTGTCGTCCTCACCCTTGAAAACTGGGTGGACGTAGGCGTTTTGGAGGAAACCTTTCAGGTTCAGATTCGGTTCTCTTGCGCGTTCCAGTGTGTCTTTCATCATTGCTTCCTGAGAACCCGCCGAAGAGGAGACAAAGAGTAAGAACAACTAAAGATTACCATGCAAGTATCAGAAACAATACAAACTACAGAATTACGTATTAGTATATATATATACACTTAAGCAAGAACCTCAAACCTGCAAGGGATAGGTCACGAAAGCGGGTTCATAACGGCCTTTGCAGAAAAAATGGAACCATATGGTCAAGACTGGGAGCGTTATGAGCAATGGAGTTGATTGAGTTGCTTCTTTTGTACTTAACAACCCCATGAGTAGCAGCTGTGAAACAACAAGGGCGGTTATTATGCGCCTGTGGACATCAGGCCAGAACGCCGCAGCACTCTCATACTCTTGATTGTAGACATTTATAATCTAGATTCCATGCAACAACTTCATGAGCACACATCCTCGATCAAATCCATAAATAGGGAGTAAATATTTTATTGAGCATTAAGAAAATTGTGAGTCGTACCTGATGACGATACACAACATATGCCAGAGCAAAGAACACTATAATGAAAGGAAGTAGGACCGGAGTCACCACTGCGTAAACGAGGCCAAGCAAGAAATAAAGTTGGATTTGAGGTTCTCCAGTGTTGAAACCAAGGCTTCCTGGATCCATTGCCTCTTCTCTGTCCTTTTCGGTCTTCACCAAGAAGAAATTCTTAAAGTGATAAATTATTAGCGGTTTCAATCTTAGAATCTCCCCAGCAACGCCAGCCCATCCATCAACCATTGTATAGGTTATAAAGAAAGTTGCCTTCATAGGAATAGAGACGCCAATCGTTTCTGGGATTCTGCACAAAGTAGCCAGTTAATACCATAATATAGGGTCAAGGTAGAACTGAATGTCCCAATACAAAAAACTTTAGCTTATAAATTAATCCTGGGTACGCAAAGCTGCGGTGTGTAGCTACTTACTTATTTGCAGATTGGTGTATAAAAGTATCCAGTTGTTGAAATGCAGTTCCGGTAATTATGCTCCCGAGAAATACATTAATAAATTGGAAAATGTAATATCTAGTAGCAGATCTTCTCTCAAGAGCTGAAATGCTGTTAAATCCTTCAAATTTGGACATTAGCATCAATATCGAAGGTAGAAAAATAAGAAAAATCTTCAATGCAATTCCCGGAAGGAACCCTTGTATAACATACTTCATAAAATTCCTGCATAATAAAGATATTAATTAAACAACAAATAATCACCCACCCCAGACCAAGAATACCCAAGCAACCATCAACTGAAACCAAATATGAAACTGAACGCAGACTTCCATGAAGTCAAAAGTGAGAACCATGCAACAAAAGTAGACAACAAATGCATATAAAAGGAAATAAAGAGAAGAAAGAGGACAAAAAAGACACTCACAATTCAATAATGGGCTTCAGGAAGGGGACTGCTTTCTCAATGCCCTCTATATTTGCGAGGGACTGTACAAATGCAATTGGAATCATGAAGAAGAAGGTAAGGAAGAAGAAGGCGACACCACTAATGAGCCTTCTTATTGCCAGCGAAACATACGGGATTGATAGATTATCCCAATATATATCACGGGGTTCTGGAGCCCTTTCAGTCAACCATATAGTTGGATTTCTCATTTGTTGAGTTTGTGCACAAACAGCAGCACCCCATCGAGTCTTGAAAGACACAAATGCCGCTGGCACGACGGATTTAGGATTCTTCGATATCCGGTCTCTCTCAAAGGATATCTAAGTCATGTGCAAAAGAAGCACAACTATGAGTTAAAAATCCTTTTAAACTGACGAACAAATTAATCATATCATGAAAAGATAAGCTGAAAAACCTTGACTATATGGAATTCGTGCAAGAAAATCAAATTTGAAAACTAGGATTAACCAGTGCATCCAATGGTTCTACATAAACTTCCTTTGCTTTTTACTCAGCTCTTTGTTTCACTTAAAAATAGAAGCATTAAAAATGACAGAACACCTAAAAGATTTCATATTAGACAAGTGAAATTCAAGAAGCTTGAGGACAGTTGCTTACTTCTTTTGACAGTCTCTCAATTTCTGATGTATAGAAATCGATGGCGTCCATCCTGTTTCCAAATAGACCAAGGAAACCTGTCTGCTCACAATAATAGCTCCAATAACTAATAAATGAAAGAGTTGGTAAAATGCCATACAACCTTTTCAAGCTGAGACATCGAGTCACCAGAAAGAACAATAAAATCTGGAAGGTGTCTGCTGAACAGCTGTTATTTCAGTAATACCTTTACCATTGACCTTTTAGATTCATTTCTGGAGAATCTAAGTTGATAAAAATCAAGCCAATTCTGCGTCTTTTTCTTCTCATTGACTAAATGGGAAAGTTTGTTCGCATTGTAAACGACCTGCACAAAGATATTTTGGTAAGCAAAGTAACTACGTATACATTAGTAACAAAAATCTGAATAAATCAATGCAGCAAAGGGACTAGCATGGACAATATAAGCTTATTAAAGTTTCTTTCCGTTTCCTATTATCAGGAGAAATTACCAAATCAAAGTAGATTAGGATGATTTCATGACTCATGGATATTTAACAAATTACAGTGGTATTTGGCATAGAATGATATCACATGGTTGTTTTTGTCATTGCTGTAGCTGTTTTTTTTTTTTTTTTTTTTTTTTTTTTTTTTTTTTTTTTTTTTTTTTTTTTTTGTACAAAATGATATTAGGATGATATCACTAACATTCCGTTTCCCATTATCATGAGTAATTACCAAATCAAAGAAAATTAGGACGATTTCATGAGTCATACATATTTAACAAATTAAGGTGGTATTTGTCACGAACGTTCAAATTTGTTTTTTTGCACAAAATGATATTGGGATGTGAAGCAAGCAATAATGTGCAAAAAGGAGGAATGAAAAGCGCACATATATCATACAGTTGAGGAAATATTTTATAATGTATGCAGGAGGATCAAACCTGATGAGTAAGGTAGTGATCAGGATGGTTGACCAAAAAAAAGTGTTCCACGTTCTCGCTAACAGATTCATCAGGATCTGGCGGAACATTTCTGACAAGTACCTGTACGAAATAATTGAATTCATCCCTAAGTGATAAGAAGTAAAAATATAATATGAAGAGACCACTTTCAAACCTAACATTTTGCTGACCCCCTCAAAAAATAAGGAAAGGTTATCTTTATGCATTATGCCTGCTTATAGTATAGCAGTGGCATTGGCGTACTTTGCTTAAAGAAACCGGACATACAGTGAACTGATCAGGTTGCCGATGTTCCGAGGCAAGGAAATGCAACCTCATCGATGCAACTTTCTCGTATTCCTTTTTGAGTATGTAGCATGTCCAAAAGGTAAAAGCATAAGCCATGACCAAGTGTGTCCAGAATCTAAAACAAGGCAGATTTCATTTGATGTCATTGCAAGCTAGGTGAATTCTAAAGCAAGTTTACATTGATTCATAACTAGCATTTCACAAGGAGAAAATACCGCACAAAGTATGTCAACTAGAATTAAAATCTTTACCTCCGTGATCCAATAGGAATGTTAGAAATAGACAGCTTATCTACATCGCTATATGTTAAATTTGAACCCTTCAAGGTGTCATTGGTCCAATTGACTGGAGCCATGATTGCAAAAGAAAGGAATGCGATCGGAGTAAAAATCTTAAGCCTGCACTTTGAACAGAAAATAAAGCCTAATTAATAAGACAACAGCGAGAGATGTACAAAATCAGATTCCAAAAGAAGGAAAAGATTCTGTTCACATGTTAAATGTTAGCAAAGTAGAACAGCAGTTGAGGAGGAAGTAGAGAGCGTTTAACATTAAATGGACAGATTCTTACCCAGTAAGGTAAATTCTCAAGTAAACAGCAGAGTCTAGTCCTGCATGATCGATGAGCTCGGGTTCCGGCATTTGTAGTGCGGCGGGCATCCAGTTGAGAAACCTGACGTAGGACCTGAAGTCCAAATTGACAAACTTGTTTATGAATGCGCCTCCGCGCAATGGGCTGAACCTTAAGCCTTTAAGATACCATTTCGGAAAATAGACCCTGTCGTTGACCGGCTGAATCCGGAGTATGGCAAATGCAATAAAAAATGCAAATGCACTAAGAATATTTATAGCTGCTCCAACTGCTATATCATTCAGTGTAGCCATATCTCCACTTCGAAGACTCACAAACAGCTGCGTGTTCTGTTGGTTCAAAATAGAAAGCGGAAAAAAGGGGCTTCAAATAAATAAACTAGTATGTGTGGGACCCAAATATAGACTTTCGGCCAAATCACCCAAAAAAAACAAAACAAAAAAACTGTAGGAGATAAAAGAAACAAAAAGAACCGTTCTTTTGCCAAGGAATTAAAAGAACGGTTCGTGTGAATTTGAATTATCTCTCTCTTTTTCGACATTTAGTGCAGAGAGTATCCTCTCAGTCAAAATTAGAAGTTGTGCTAATCAAGTCCAATCAAAATAAAGCAGAACAGCAATATGCGAAATATGAAAAGCTATTCATATGCGAATAGTACCCAAAAACAAAAAACAAAAAACAACAAAATCTGACAGCCCAATTTCTTAAATTTGGAACTTTGTTGAAGTCATGATGGTCCGTTTATTTAATCTATTTGAGTTTAAAATTTAAATTTTATTATAGTAAAATTTTTTTAAAAATAATCACATTTAATTTTTTTATTACAGTAAAAAATTATCACGTAAAGTCACATCTCAACTCGAATCAGTAAACTAAACATACTTTCTTAAAATTGACAGCAGAAAAGTTGACAAATAAACGAAGGCAACTTGAAATCAACATTTATAAGTTTTATTGATTGAAATACCAAATTTTTTGGCCTACCTGAGAAGAAACAAAGTACAAAGTACGTACATTTGCAAGAAAGTAAAAATTCGCTCTGAAATTTTCTCTTAAAAAAAAATCACTTTGAGAAAAATATACGAGTCAAATATTCCAGAGAAACTAAAATGCATAACTGAATCCTTGAACCTCTCTATTTTCGTTTATAGCCCAAACAGATCCCCGAATTAATTTCCAAGATAAGAAGAGAAAGAAACGGATTTTACGCATAAAATTCCTACTAAATAATAAATACAAATAAGAAACAAGATTTCCGTTTCACATTTTCCCGGCAACCAAGCAAACAAAATACAGTAGAGCACTGATCAAAGAACTAGAACACATCTAACATCTTCTTCTACCCAACTTTTTTCACCAAAAAAGATAAATAGAAAATAAATAAAAAATCACATGTACACTGATACTCTTTCACACTCAAATAAAAAATAAAAAACAAAAACAAAAATAATGAAAAAAAAAACAACTAACCTTAAAGGTTTAACATTCAGAGTCAGACGCGTTGTTTTCAGTTACATACACTGCTCTACGATTCACGAACTGCGTCGAATTCTCAAACAAATCCAAACGAGAAGATCGCATCAGGAGAATAAGATAGTCAAAAAAAGTTCATTATAATAGCTACACTCACATTATTATACTATCAACCAATCCATATAGAGAGAGAGAGAGGAGAGAGAGAGAGAGAGAGAAATCAGTTTTCTGCAAATGTCGTTATCTTGCTGAAGTAGAAAAAAAACGCACAACAAAATATTTAATTCGAAAACGAAACGATATATTTATATTCATATATTTATTACGTTTAATTTATATGTATTTATTGATATAATAATGGTTCACACCTCACAGTGGACTGAGGTGGCATCCGATGACGCTTCACCACTAACCGTCGTCGCTTCCGTTTCCGTTTCTGTTTGTGTATTTCGTTCTTCTACAAATCTATTAACAGAAAAATAATAAAATAATGAATAATGTAAAAATTATTTTTTTTTTTGTAACACGCCACAGGGATTTGGTTGTCGGCAAATTTTATGTGAAAAAAAAGCAGTTTCTCTCTCTAGAAAAGGGGGCATAAAGGACAAAACTTTTCTGTCTCTAACGGCTACTTCTGTTCTCTCTCTCTCTCTCTCTCTCTTATGCGTTTAATGTCTGTGTGTGAATGGAGTTTTAGGCTGTTTCGGCTGTGGAAATTAGACACCTGGCCGCATATGTTTGCTGATGAGATAGTTTAGACAAGTGGTCTTTGCTTTCTTGTTGTTTAAGTTTTTTTCCTGGACTTTCTCCTAAGTTAAATTTTAATTGTTAAATTTAATTAAAATTACGTTAAAAAATTATAAAAAAGACAATTTTTTATAAGGGTATCAGTAGTTTTTTTTTTTTTTTTTTTTTTTTTTAGACTTGTTTCTATTTCCTTTCTGATTAAGGCAGTTTTTTAATTGCATGAGCAAAAAGGTAGATTTTATATTTGTTTAAAAAGCAAAGTAAGGAACGTTTTGATCCTGAGATAATTGTAATGGTTACACCAAAAATGTGTTAATTGCCATTCATTAATTGTTTGGTTAAAGGAAGAATGAATTTGGTGTGTTAATGGAGTTTATTTAATGGGGTTTCCTTCCTTTTTCTATGTGAAATGCATAATTAGTATGTGATCCGATTCTTTTTCATTATTATGATTATTAGAGGAGATGCTATCTTTTCTTTCCTTCTTTTCCACAATATAAAAAGCAATTCTTATTGTGGTAGAAGTGTGCCCTCTTTTTGGCATTTTTTTAAATGAGCTATCTTCTATTTTTAATCTTAATAGAAAATGAGCAAACACATGCATGTCATAGTGGCAAACTTTTCTTTTGCATATTTGTTACAAGACTCATGACCAATTAAGAGAGAGGCTCAGAAAAAATAAATTACTAGTGGTTTTATTTTTAACTGTTAAATTTATATTAGAAATTGTCGGTTTTATATATTTTTTTAATTTGATGTGATTTTAACATAATTTAAAAATAAATACTATCAGTAGGACTGACTTGTAAAAGAAACTCTCAAAATAGTAATTGATAAAAATAATTGAAAATATGTTAGAACTTTAAAGGAATGTAAATAGATATGTTAAAAACTGACGAGCTTTAAGTCATTTCAGTTTCTTTACAATATGGGGGGTACAATCATATTTAACTTGGAAAGTTTAATATATGACAAATGGACCATAATCATATTTAACTTGGAAAGTTTAATGTATGACAAATGGACCATGGCATAAGAATAAATTAAAAGACAAACCAATGCATGTGAAGAGCATTTGTAGGTGGGCTATCTTTGCAAGCTATTATTAGGACTCAAATGTGACATGTGTAAGACATTGTCCATTGCCAATCCATTGGCAAAACTCTTAGCTAAAAAAAAAAAAAATTATATATATATAATGAAAAAAAAAACCATTGGACGAAGCTATTATAAATCTAATAAATAAACCGACTGTTTTCTCCCCAACTGCCATTAAGATTTCAAAAGCTAAACAGGTCAAATATTCTTCTCGCTACAAAATCCTTCTTCACCGGCCAAAGCTCCCAACTAGGTCATTACCTGTTGCTTTTTCGTCTTTCATGTGGTAAATTACCCTTTAAATTACTAGTAAATTAAAAAGTAACATTTCTTCCAAGTAAATTAGTAAAGCTATTTATTCTTCTACCCATCAATCATCATTAACCATTTCCCTCTATCTGGTAGACTGGTAAAACACTGGTCCCCACGGGGACCTACACCATTTTACTCATTCAACCATGTGGGGTATTTCCCATGAAATTTTGTATATATGTATGTTTAAATGCTATTCTATTTTTTATCATTTTTATTTTAGTTTATTAGCTATGTGAAGTTAGCAAACATAGGCTTAGTTTGGTATTATTTTTCCTTCCTAAAATTAGTTTCTGTTTGTAGCAGAAGTTGATTTTAGTGTTTGATAAATCTCTTTAAAAGTACTTTTTGAATAATTTTTCAAGAATCTACAGCGAAAATCAGAAGCCTATAAGCAACTTTAGCTTTTAGATTGTGCAGGAATCAACATAGTATAATTAATGAAACTTTCATAATACCCATAATACCCCTAATACAATTTAAAATTTACAATCTTCCTAATTTAAAATTCAGACTTGTAATATAATATAATATAATAGTAATATTGTAACAAATAATATCATAATTATATTAATAACTCTAATCTTATTATTTTATCATATAATATGATAGTATAATAATATTATAATTATTTTAATAATATGATATTATAATTATAATAGAATTATAATATGATATTATAATGATAATATGATATTGTAATTATTATTTTATAATATATTATTTATTATATTATATTGATATAATTATATTTATTGTATTAATAATAATATAATAATTAATATAATTTTATAGTTCTAATATTATTATATATTATAGTGTATTATACATGTTATGGTTATATAATATATTAATTATAATATATTTGTTTAATATAATAAAATTGTAATTTTTAATTATATTATAACTGAAATATTATTATTTCTTATGTAATATCATAATATGTTTTATAGTATTGTAGTTATATTAACCATTTTAATAATATTATTATATTCTATATCATAATTATATAATAAGTTATTTAATAATAGTTTTATTGTATTATATTAAATATAATAATAAATATACATTATATTCTAAT